TTGAAAAAAAAAAAAAAAAAAAAAAATAATTAAATAAATAAAATTTTTTTGTATCGTTGTTTCGTTCGTTTTGGGTACCCAAAATAAAAATATTGAAAATAATAAAAAAAAAAAATTAAAAAAAGTTCTGCAAATACCAGTTTAGGTTGGTATTATCATCGAAGCAGAATTCTTCAAATGCGACATTTTGAGCGTTGAGATTATTCTCAACGAGCGACTGTTTGATAATTGATTGTGCGGGGGTTGGATCAAGAACGTCGGGGTCAACATCACCATCTAATTCGTAACCATCGTAACCATCGTAACCATCATAACCATCATAACCATCATCTTGAATACCGTTTTGACCCAAAATCGTTTCCGAGTTGTTGTTATTCCAATTTGACTCGGTAACAACTGTAAAAATCGTGGGCTCATCAGACGATGAAGATATAGTATCATTAAGAGTACAATTTCCCATCAAAACATTTTCGAAATCCGCATTATAGGAGTGAATTAAAGGCTGCATATCTGAACCAAAAGTAAGTTCAAAATGTGCACCACTTTGTTGGTTTACTACACCTTGTTGGTTTACTACACCTCTTTCAATTGTTTTACTCTCATCCCGGTCATGTGTTGTTGTTGTTGTCGTTAATTTTCCACACTTTTTCTTTGAAATATTATTATGACTATTTTTATTCCTTCTTCTAGCAATTTTAAAATTCGAATTAATGTCAGGATAAACAAGATCTCTCTTTCTCCTCTTATTTAATTCACATTCAACTTCCTGAGCTATCTTCTTATATGCTTCTTTAACTTCTCTACATTCATTATTCCAATATAAACTAACTAATTTAGAAACGTCCGTCATTTTAAATCTTTGATTTAATAAAGCAAGTTGATCAAAATAAACTTTACGATAAATGAAAAAAGCATTTGGACTTTTTGAACAAATTTTAGATGATGGACGTTTTAAAACGATATCTTGAGCTGTGATCGGAGGTGGAAAAGGAAGTTGGATTGGAGGAGGTGATAAAGTAAGTGTGGATGGATGCCAATTCATTTCAGTAGTTATTGATTTGGTACATTCAAAACATTTGTTGAATAAATGATGTGGCATATCGTGAAAAAGTTTTTTCATTATTTTTAATACGAAAGTAAATCATTTAAAAACGTTAAAAAAAATTTTTTTTTTTTTTTTTTTTTATTATTTTTTTTTTTTTTTAAATATATAAAAAATTTACGATAACGATTACGAAACGATAGTAATTAAGTCGAACGAAAAGAAAAAAAACCTTAGTAGAGAGGATACTCTACCATTTAATCATACAACAACATAACCGAGGTATGAGCCCAATAAAGTAAGGGGAAGAGTAGTATTGAATGAGCTTTTATATGCGAGAAATGGGGAAATTATTTTTAGTATTTTTCATGGCAAATCTTGAAGACACCTGCAACATGTCAATCGGAGTAGCCATTTGAAGGAATTTTACCTTATGACATTTTCTCACTGAGTTTTACCAAAAGAAACTTATTGTATTATCAATTATTTCTGGCTGAAAAAAAAATTGTTGCAGACTTAGCATAAATTTTGAATATCAACAAACATACACTAACGGATAATGTTCAAGTTTTACTTCCCAAGTTATCATTTGTTGAAACAATTTTTTTTTTTTTTTCAAGCTAACACAAATTTGAAACTCCAAAACCCAGTTTTGACTCCGCAGTTTGAAAATTTTTTCTGGTCATTACAGTATAAGAAACAAACATGTTGTCATGTTTTTAAATATTTATTTGATAGTTAAACAGACATGGATATTAAACAACTTTCAAGTAAAACCAGCAAACACAGCAAACAAATAAATTACTTTTTGTAGTCAACAACTATGATAATGAATGATCTTCATTTTGTCACACCACATATAACACATATATAACATAAAGTCACGTCATTATGTCTAACCCCCAATCTTTGTTTTACATATTCAATATATTGTTATTATTCTTAGAATATATAATTTATTTATATAATTTTTATTTATTACATTGTTCATCATGTCATGCAAAAAAAAAGGGTTAATACAATAACAAATACGGAAGATAAAAAAAAGAAGAAAAGAATATCTAGAATATCTTTTGATGACCGAAAAATATTAATTTCTGTAACGCCTTCACGTATACAATACTAATTTAAAGTCACACTTTTTAATAAAATAATTATTAAATTATTATTTGATTAATTGTATTCATTAAATGTAGATGAATAATAATTATTGATTTTTTTGTCAAATATTAAATACAGCGCGTAACTCCCCATCAAATTGAGGTAATATCTTTAATATCTTTCGTGCCAAAAAGGTTCCCCTTGAAATTTTATATTTAGAAACTGATTTACTTTGCATAGGTTTGTCATACACTCTGGTTTACCAATCTTTGTCATTTATACCTTCCTCTTGCTTTATATATACTAAAGAACGCGTACGTAATTTAATTATATAATTTAAATGGCGTAAAAAAAAAAAAAAATTCAAAGGGTATATTGTATGCGTTTTATTAACTTTCACAACATAATCTTGTAAGATCTCTTGTAAATAATACGTTTCTTTGTTCATATCAATTATTCTTGAAAAGTGTTGTGCCCATATTTCAATGGGTTAATGAAATTAGTAAAAACCGATCGATAAAACTTTTGATTAATTTATTGTTATCCGATAATACAATAATTCTCAAACATTTTATATTAAGATAAGGAATTTAATTTAATAATTAATAATACATGTATGTATTGTATAGAAAGAATACTTTATATTATTTGAATACATTCTTTGTAAACTAAAAAATATATATTTACTATATCATCATATCAATATATATATATATATATAGATAGATATACAAATAAAATCACGTTATTTGTGTTTGTGTTTGGCCAATCAAATTAGACATAATACATAACTTTTAGTACGACAAATAAAGTTATTTTAATTAATTTTAATACGATATTAATTTTATAATGAGATATACTTCAATGAAAGAAAAAGTTAATTGGTTCCTTTGGTACGGCTTTGAATGTTATAAAGGTATATAATAATATAAAAAAACAAATCTTGAATTCGATTGAATTTGTTTGGTTTGTAAAAAAAAGGGAATATCCTATTATTAAAAAAAAAATTAATATATGTAGATAATTTATCGAATTGTTACACATAATGATAACAAAGATTACATGAAATACGCCAAGAATGGTCATGCCGTATCACCATATGCTACCAATATGACAAAATTTTTTTTTTTTTTTAAAAGAATGGACAAAAAATTTCAAATAAAGTTACAAATAATAAAATATCGTAAAGATCGCTAAAAATAACCGATTTTTTGTACGACGGTAACATATTACTAAAAGAAGAAGGGGTAGTATGTATTTACTTTGACGCCACAACTGCAATCTAAATATACATGCTTTGAACAGGTTTCCTTTTTTTGTTCCAAATAAAAAATGCGCTAATCGACATTTTGTTTTAATGATTATCAGATTTTGTGTAGCAAATTTTACTAGATAAAGTAATTGAAATCCTTATCATCATCGAAAAAGTTATTATCAAAAATTTGTTTTACATTTCAAGTCTTTGATAATACTTCTTCGCCATCCCTAAAAAAGTCTTTTATCATGAAAACCCTTTTGTAGGTGTGGATTAGATAATGTTTCGTTAAATAACTTGAAACTCATTCGGTGTGTATTGTCCCTCATTGAATTTTGGATTTCCTTTTTTTAAAAACATGATTCACTCATTTATAATAGGAAAAGAAAATATGATCAAATTTGGTCAAAAATTGTCAGCTGGATTAATCTTTACATTTTAAATCGGATATTTACTTTCTAAATGAAGAAATAAATTTTCCGTGATGAATAATAATAAATAATTTGTGCCTAATCAGAATAATTAAGCATAAATAAACATTTCTGAGATGAGTTGACAACATACAGTAAATAATAATTAAACTAACCCGATTTAATGATTTTATTAATTTTGTACTTTTGTACTTTTGAAATTTCTAAAGAGGGACGATGTAAATAATATTGTGGCTAGGGTTCAGGTCTTTCCTACTTTCGATAATCTTTGTGTAATCAATGATAACTTTAAGTTCCATTTCGGCCGACTAGTAATTGTCGATATTTCCAATTAAGGGTTTTCTAGAAATTTTCTGTTACATCATATTTATGTTCACAAGATCTATAAATATAATTTCTTTTTTCTTTTCTTCTGTTACACATAACAAAATAATAATATGTGGCAGAGACATTCTGTAATAGAATGATTTCTATTATCAACTAACCATTTTTTTTGTGTAAAAGAATCCATTTAAGGAATTGTCATCCCAATCATAGTATTTATGTTTTCCTTTCTCATAATTCACAAACACATATGAAGTTAATTACTGGATTTTTTTCTTGTTAATGACTAAAAATATACAAAGGAATAGATGAACATACTTTGTATCAAATATTAAACAATACCATTTGGAAACCTTATAGATCCAAAAAGTGGTCAAAGAAGTTATTTGAGTATAATAGAAAAAAACAAAGGTCCGCAGTTATTTTTTTTTTAAATCCATAAATCGTTCACGAAAATAAACTTTATTTATAGCGTCATTATTTTTTTTGAAACATGTTTGAAATTTTTAATTTTAGTAATTTGAGGCAAATTATATCATAATATATATGCATACATATATTTTTTACGTGATTTTTATATATTTTGTACACTAAAATTAGAAAATTACCGAACGTGTTAAAGATCGCGTTAATAAAAGGTTGATAAATTATAATATTAATAATAATAATAATAATAAAAAAAGATCTCAAAAATATTTCTTTGTTAAGAATTATAAATTGATTAAGATTAGTGTATGTATAAATATGTGGCTTTTATTTCAGGTTTTTTTCTAAAAAAATTCTGCATGTTTTAAATAACGTACAACTTTGATTTGACTTGAGAAAGGAATAAAAAAAAAAAGTGGCTTATAATGTATTTTATCATATATTTATAATGTGTGTAATTTTATTATATTTTTCTATTTAAGGCAAAATTCCAGAGTAATCTTTTTGCGGATGAGCCCCAAAATGGTTACATTTTGAATATTTTGAGTTCTTTGTCATTAAATAAAAACCCGTAATTAATTCTTTATCCTGCTTAAACATTTTTCATTTTTTTTTTCGTTTCGAAAAAGATAGAATATATATATATATATATATACGACATCTTTTTTACCAAACATTAACGTAAAAATTTTTTAAAGATAAAAAAATCAAATTATTCTTATTTTATTATATTATATTATATTTTTTCTTATTACGAAAAATGAATAATATTACACAAGTTAATATGATTCATCAAAATAGTTATCATAAATTTTCTCAGGAAACTTCTAAAGCTACAGGAAATGTTACTTCGTCCAATTCGAAAGATTTGAATCAACTTCCTTATATAAAGTTACCATTTCCTCCAACAATTCGTGCATCAGATATAGCAAAAAAAAGAATACGTTCAAAAATTTGTTCGAAAAGTCCAAATGCATTCTTCGTTTATCGTAAAGCATTCGTTGACCAACTATCAAATTTTACTGGTAAAAATAAATTAAAAATGACTGAAGTTTCTAGACTCGTATCTTCCCGTTGGAAGATGGAAAGTAAACAAGTTAAACTTGCTTATGAAGAAATTGCAAAACAAGTAGAACAAGAATTAAATAATATTAGAAACAAAGATTTAGTATATACTGACGATTTTGATATTGGAAGGAGAAAGAAAAAGAATAATAAAAGAGGTCGAAGATCGGAATTTGGATTTGACGCTTTCTTTATGAATCTTAAAGGAAATTTTAATATTTCAACACTTGATTTTTCAGTAAAACCCAATAATAATGATGATAAAAATAATTCGGACAACATTAATTCTAATTGCAACTCAAATTTTAATTCTCCGTCTTTATCATCTTCATCTTCACAATTTGAATCATCAATTAATGAACATAGAGAAGAAGAATCTGTAAACTATGAAGAAAATAATAGTTCGGATGAATTATCAATTCAAGAAATTACTAATACATTTGAAAGTAATAATAATGATAATAACGATAATATTCAACAATTACAACAAAATAATTATAATTTAGAAAGATTAGAAGAATTTCCAAATTATCATTCTCCTATTTCTGATAAATTAATTTGTGATGATTCTAATTTGTTGACTCCTCCTAATCATGGTAGTGAATTGGATACTCTTTACGATAATTATAATGATTATAACGTTCAATATCAACAAAATGAATTTCATTTATATGAATCATTTTTAAAGAATAACGAAACACCGAATTATCCTTCTTATCCAATCTTCGATGAAGATCGTGGTTTAGACTTTTATTTGGGTTATTATGATAATTTATCATAAAATCAATGTTTTATTTTTAAAAAAAATTTTCATTTTATTTTTATTTTTTGTTTTCTTTCGGATTACAAAATTTAAAAAAATCTATTTTTTTTTTTTGGTGGGGTGTGTGGTGTAAATTTTGTAATTTTGAGCAATTACAACAAAAAAAAAAAAAAAATTTCCTTTTTCTCCTTCTTTGTATTGTAAGATAAGATTTTCTATCACTTTTTAAGATATTATTCATATTATTCGTTCGTAAGTATTTCATTTTTATATATTATTATATTATTACATTAATTTTATCCTTTTTTTTTTTTTTTTTTTCTTCATTTTTTCCTGTAAATTTATGCTTACTTTTCTCGTGATATCTTCTTATAAATCATTAAAGATATATTATGTGTATATATGCGTTAAAAAAAAAAAAATCTACAATTTTAAGTACGATGAAATATAATACATATTACATGCTGTACAATTACATTCATATAAGCGCAGTAGATGCTTCGATTTTTTCGAATATCGAACATTTCAACGGGTAGTTTAAATTCACTAGTTTTTTTTAAGTAATAATTTTCTTTTTTTATACTAAACTACATTTGATATCATATTATATTAAGTAAATTATGATTATGATTATTCTAGAATAAATATTTTGATTACTTTTACAAAATTGAATATTTATTTTTAATGACAATAATAGTAATAAATAAACAAACGGCCGAACACAAATCCATTTTCATGTTGATTAAAGTGGCTAAATCATGATTTTTTTTAGAAATCCAATCAAAATCATTCATTGTTACAAATAAATCCCATTAGATTAAAAAGATCCTGTCGATTCTTCTAAAAAAGATTTACCCTTTTTCTTATTCATTTATTAAGAAATGACGAAAAAAAAATCAATTTAATTTAATTAAATTATACTGAGACACTTTTATGGAAATGAAATCTTTTTTTTTCTTTTTTTTCTTTTTTTTCATAAAGTTTTCCTTTTTTTAAAACTTTTCTAAGCCACAAACAAATATTATTAATCCAAACATAAAACATAATGAATGCATGAAACGAGGTATTGATTTATATTATTGTATTTAAAATCCGCGGTTTATTGGTTTATTGATTGAACTTGAAAATAATAGACTATTTTGTCTTTTTCAATTGTAAATTTTACCATTCTTCTAAATGATTATTAAGGCTTCATTTAGTTATAAACATCACTGCCATCACCTTTTAATTCATTCTTGTTCATTCTTACACTTATGGATTTCATGATTTCTTCTTTCGTAACACATTACAGTACATATGTAGATTCTTTAATCATGGTATTTAATGATTTAATGATTTAATGTACAAAATTATTCATTTATTTACAGGTTGGTATTGCGAAAATATAAAGATTTGTTAGATTTGTAAGAATCAATCAATCTATTGTTATTCTGAAGAAGTATATAAAATACGGGTTTTCCGTTCGAGAAATTAGCCATTAAGGGGTAAAGGAGTCGTGACATATTAAAATTTCCAAAAAAAATCCCTTGTTTATTTTCTTTGTCCTTTTTTCATGACAAACATAGTAAAGAAAATTATTCGGAGGATCCGATTCTTTAAAACGATCCGTTTTTTTTTTTCTGACTTATCTTTAAACAGATATGTAAAGCATTGCATTCCATGTACTGTACAATAGTAGTACATTTGGTTCGATTTATAAAGAAGCAGCCTTAACTTTGTTATAAAAAGGTTTAAAATTGTGAATTTTCTAAAACAAAGATATAATAAAGATATTAAAAGAACGAAGACCTGCTCACTAATGCCGTCATGTGGTAACTGATTATCGTGCCCAATCAAATTAACAGAATAGACTTCATTTTTCAATACACGTTTCAGATGTTTCAGATGAAATTTTTTTTTTTTTTTGGTAATAATTTTCTTTCTTAGTCGATCCCCAAGGATAATCGAATGTTTGGGATAGTAATGATCGGAAGGAACGGGAAAACTTATTTTATTTTAGGTAATTAATTTTTTATCCAGAAAAAAAAAATATTTAATCATGATAATTCTGATAAAGTATCAATCAACCAGCAAATTTATCAAATTTAACAAAAGAATTTATTATCCGGTAACTATGATCATTTTCGATCAGATCAGATTTATTTATGTGATTTAGGAAATATAAGAATATGACAATTCCGTGTAATGATGAAAAAGGTAACAAATTTCATTATTTTACCAGAGTAATTTAATTAATTATTAATGAAAAAAATTTTTTTACATATGAAATTAAGGTTTTAACAAAAAGAAATTTAATCAATAAAAAAAAATTATCTTACATCATCTCTCTTCATAGAGAAGATTATTTTTAATACAAAGGAAAAATTAAATTATCTCTGTTATGCTCGACCAGTGTTTTTAACAAAAAAAAAATTATATATATATATATATATATATATAAACTATGAATATATCAGGAAAATTGAAGCAATACCCCAAATCCTTCCCATTATATTTACTGTTCTTTGACTTTTGTGGTACCATTAACGTAACCATTGTTGACATTATTATTTACTTTTTCATCCAGCGAAATAATCTTTTCAGTCTTTTTTGTTCTTCTTTTTGGTAAAATCATATCTGCGAAAAGTAAGGTAAATACTACAATATGTCCGATCCAATATACTGAATTATATGCAGTAACAACCTTGTCCCATTTCAGTAATTCAAATGATATCATAGCGTAATGTAATCCGCAAGTCTGTCCAAACCAACATGCAAATTTATGTAATCCCCTTATGGTCTTATATTTAAGTTCATTCTTTGAATCATACAATGGTTTAGTGTATGGTTCTAATCGTTTCACCCACCTTTTCTCTGTTTCAATATCTACATATTCAAGAGAGAAACATATAAAATATCCCGAATAAACTCCATGCCATAAAGCGAGGAATAATAATGCACCAAGTGATGAAAGATTTTTATTTCCAAGGAAAATAAGCCGTTTAAAGATATATATCTTGGTCCATATATTTGTATTTGTATTAAATGCTCCAACAATTTGATTAAGAGATGTGGCAAATTCGAATTTTATCTAGTGAAATATGGACAATGTTGAAATTTTAGTTAAAAAATATTTTTTTTTAAAAAAAAAAAGTACTCTGTTAATTTGTATATTATTTATTACCTTGTCAACATTAGCTAAACCATTCCATTCTGGATTCCCATTAGCGTCATAACCATTGAGGGAGATACAAGATAAAATACATGCTCCTTCAGCTAAAGTCCAAATTCCCAGATACTGGTAAAAGAATCAGATCATCAGCGAATGATGTCAATAAATAACTATCCAATAAATATAAAATAATTTACCTTCGTAAAGGAGAATTTTCCTGCCATCCACATATAAGCTAATCTTTGAATTAATGATTTGGCCGCATATTCTTTGGTCAATATATATGACATGGGGAAAAACCCTACAGCAATCTGTTGTACGCCTAAATACAAAGCTCCAATAAGGAAACTTTTCAACGCATATCTATAAGATCCAGTTGGAATATTCTTTGGGTCGGGAAATAAATTCATGGTAATAAATTTACGATACAGATTAAAAGAAAATTGTGGCCCGATCAAGAAAGCACCAAAGAAATACGCATAACCGATGGTTTCAATTAAAGGAGGTAAAGTTTGTAGTTGGATGTTTTTTTCAAATGAAATAGGTTGCTTTGGGGGACGTGTTGCCAAAGCATCAGACTGTGAATCAACCTTTTTATTATCATCTGTCTTTTTTTCGGAATTAACAGGTACAGATGATTTTGAAGATTTTGCTCCATCCATAAAATCCATTGAAAAACCGATCATTCTTAAACATAGAACACATTGCGGCATTGTCCAATCGATATCGTATTCATCGGTTGCGGTAACGTAATATCCAACAATAAGATAAGAAAAATTAAAGACAAATGATAAAGCACAAGCAAGCTTTCTATTTCCAATTAAATCCCCAAAATAACAAAGGAACCAAGTTACAATAGTAGTTATTAAAGAATGTTTGATGTCACTTCCGTTGAAAAAATAAGAAATGGAAAGACCAGAGATAGCCACAAAAAGATTACGAATAAAAGGAGCCCATACTGTTTTTAAAGGACGAAGTAGTGCAATACGATAGATAATAGCTACCAGATAACCGAATAAAATACTAAGTACTAAGGTAAGGTTTTGTTCTGGAATACCAGTAGCTGCACTAAGCGTTGCTACAACCATGCCTGAAACGTTTTTTTAAGTTTGATGAAAAAAACGATTTGAAAAAATGAAAATTTTTTTTTTTTTTTTTTTTTTTGATTTAACCGATTTGGAATGGAGGAACAATTTATACGAAAAAAAAAAAATGGGGGGGAGAAAAATACAAAAAAGTGATGACATTCAATTATTTTTCTAATTTTCATTGGTTAATAATAATTCGATCTAATTTTTTTTAAATGATTGTTGGATCTACATATTACATTTTAATTCAGTAATGCATACCTAATAAACTTTACCTTAATAAATCCCCATTGTTTTAACCATTACAATTTTTATAGAGCTAAAAAACCCTTATTATTATTATCTTATAAATATTGTTTTAAACAACAATTTAAACATATTAAATCTATCTATTGTGAAGATCATTATCATATGTTATAAAATTTAACAAATAAAGAACAGAAAGAAATAGAAAATTCACGAAAGTTCATTATATTTTAGAAAATTAGGAATAAATTAAATAAATGTTACAAACAATAAACTAAATTTCACTCATAATTCATGCGATCACATTATAAGACGTGTAACCCAATATACATAATGTACAAACGTAATAAACGTAATACGCGTTATAAAATAAGTATTCTTCTCATAAATTCCCTCTTAAAAAAAGATTTGAAGAATACTTGAATGGTTACGAATCATAAAAAATAAAAATTTTCATTGTGTTTGCATCAAATTGTTTACATTACAGAAATTATCCAGCTTTGCCACTTACGACAATACAATACGGCACTTAACTCTTCAGGGTAACAAATGGTAATTTTGATTACCAATTTAATTAAATAATTAATGTTACGCGTTCGCTAAATTTCTATTCGTTAAGCTAAAAATTCTGTAACATTACTTGTTTACACTCGTCTATATCACAGAGTCTATACTCTTGTGGTAGAACTTCTGCGCTTCGAAGACAATGGAAGATCGACGCAAACACCGAACTTTTATAAAAAATAAATTTCAAAATTTATGGCGCGACAACTTTAAGAGACAATGCTTGGAGCAATTCAGACGCTCCAGAGAAACGCAAGTAAATCAGCGTAGATTTGGTAAAGAAAACGTTATATCTGAAGAGGAGGTATGTCCCAAACTTACATATTATATTTTCACTTGTAAGATTTTTTACCAATTTTGTTTAGTTGTTGTTTCAAATTATTAAAAACGAATGGAGAAGCTTCTTACTGAATGAAGAGAAATTCACGGGTGACTTTGATGCTGATTTAGCAGCGGCAACAGAGAAAGAATTACTTCAAGAACTCAAAAGAGGTATTGGGTGACTTTGATAGTAAATATTATCATCAATAATTATTAATTAATTCATTCTATAAGAATCATCGATGTATAATTCAAGAAGTTTAGAAGAAGAAGCGGAATATATTCTACAGTTTGAGCCGGAAGAAATATATCAAAACGATTCAGTTCAAGAAGATTCCAATAAGCTTATTATTGAAAATATTCAGAATTGTGAATATTCGCATGGACTGTATAATACATTACCGTGTTCAAACTGTTATCAATATAAACTTTCCCTAGTTGATGACCGACATTGTTTATTCCGGTGTTCAGGATGTAATATATACTTAACGGCAAATTTCTAAAGCTAACGAAATTCGGATCAGAGTAATGTAATACAGGTAAAGATTTTATATTATGTTATTAATAATTTACATAAATTATTTATTTATTTTTAATGGTTCATTCAGGGCTTGTTCACGGTATGTTTCATTTGGAACTACGTAATATACTACTGATATACTTTTATTGTAATGTAATTTATCTATCACTTGTAAGAATTTGATTATTATGAAGAAAAATTAATAATTTGAAGGGTAGGAAGAAGTATAAAGTTAGTAGGTACCACTGTACCAGAACAATTAATAAACTATAGGATTATAATAATATTCAGATGAGATAATTGTAATGATATTCCAACAAAAAAAAAATAAATAAATAAAAACATCAAACAATAATAAAATATTAAATTTGATTTATATGTATCAAAGTATACTTGAAAAATAAAGATCTGAACTAAGTTTGTGCCAAGTATTATGGTTTAATTTCATAGTTGGGAATTGGGAATTTGAAATCAATAGCCCCCTTATACTTTCATCTCAATTATTATTTGTCAGTACACATAGTTCATATAACTTAATTTCACATGTTTCACATGCATATTAATTATTTTTATATAATATATTATAATCTATAAATTTTTTATAAAAATTAGCAATAATTGTATGATGCAGTAATATAAAAATATAAATAGAAACCTTTTATAAAATATAAAAAAAAAAGTCTGAATATATTAAAAAAGTAAAATAAATAATTAAATACAGTGATATTTAATGCATTTCCTTAGAATTATAATAAAAAAAATAGTAGAATATATACTTAAAAAAGGTGTGCATTTATAAAGAGTAAAATATCAAGAGTTCTTATAAATTGGGAAAAGGCCTACCATATATATTTAAAAAGAATTTATATAGTGTATACACTTATAAAGGATGTACTTATAAAAGTGTCACTATATCTTTATTTATCATTATTAAAAGGTAAAACTTTTGTTTAATAATTAGTAAATTGAAATAAAGTTAAATTGCATGTTATTTATTAAATTGATAGAATTAAATATATTAAATGTAAGAAATAATAATTATTCTAAATTATAATTCTATATAATTTTATAATGGGTTTAAAATTTGTGCGCACCTGCACATGTGCACACCCCCATGGATATATTATATATAAAAGTCAAAAATGACATTCTAAACCCTTCATGGCTCATTAAGTAAAGTTGTAGAATAGGCAAAAATACGCATAGTAAATAAATTATTAAGGCTCTATAATATGTACGTAAGAGTTGCAGCATGAATATTTAAAAAAATCGGGATTTTACTAAAGTCACGTGATAAATAATGATCAACAAATTTACTATATAAAAATTACCAAAAATGGAGGGGTGCGCACATGCACGGGTATGCACAAATTTTATTTCCTTTTATAATTTATTTTATAATAAATTATATTTTTAATAATTAATAAATAAATTTTTATATAATTAGTTTAATAAAACTAAAATTGCATTATTTTGCAAAAAAAAATTATATTTTTTATTAAAACAATTTTTATATTATTCATTATTTAATAATTTAATTTTATGAAATATTTATTAAAACTTAAATTATTTTTTTTTTTTTTTTCTGCAATGCATTTGATAGTTTATTAAATAGTAAAATGACTTCAGATATTATATATAGTAAATAAAAAACCTAATCTAACCATTTAATATAATTAACTACCAAACCACTCGTCATGCTACATTGAGCACCCTACGTGTGTATGATCCCAGATAATTATAATAGGGGTCATGTGTAAAATAAGTATAAAATTTTGTATTTTTAATGAGCAGGTTATATAAAAAAAATGTATATTTTAAGAAAATGTTATATGCAAAAATAGTATATTACAAAAATAGGTTATAGTAAAAAAAAGTATAAAATTTCAGATAAAAATTCAAGGTCATATATAGATTTATTATAAAAATGTATATTTTAACAGTTAGTATTTTGCTTTTTATCGTACTTGTGATAATATCACTTGTTACATTATGGGTTTTCATTGGTGGAAATCTTGATTTTGTGACGCATGAAGAAAAAAATTTATTTTGAAATTTTTTTTTCTCCTCTCCTCTCTTTAGAATAGTATTAATAGCATAAGGTCTAAAATCATAAATAGGAATAGTAGAAGTTTCATTATTTTTACGTTTATTACTTAAAATATATAATATTCTTTCTTTTTTTCTTTTTTTATGACAAACCATTCTGGATATTGGTACGGATTTTTGAAATTATAAGTATGGAGAATGTATGAAGGTATTATTTCTCAATTTTTTTTACTATTTTTGCGTTTTTTTGTCTATAAACCTTACTAATGTTCTTTTTTTTAGAGTGAACTCAAACTTCAAGAAACCTTAAAGTTATAAGTGGATTTGAGTTCTTTTCTCTTTTTTGTTTTGGCGTTATTTTTTTATTTAAAAACATTATTAATGGATTTTCTTTTTTTTATTTAGGGATATTTTAACTTGAACTTTGATATTGATTTTAAAATTACAATAAATGTCTCTTATTTTAGCATTTTTTGATTTTAAAACATTATTAATTTACTTTTTTTTTATGGACCTTGGCATGAATTTTGCAATCATAAGACCTCAGACTTTAGTAATTATCTTTTTTTTTGTTTTATTTTTTTCTTTCTTTTTTTTAGGAAAATCCAAATTTCAGCTTAGAAAGTACTTGGATTTCATATCTTGGCAATAATTTTGTACTTCTTTGGTGGTATAACTTTCATTTTTAATCTTTTAGCAAACTTATTTTTGATCTTTAATGGCAATTTTTGCTTTTAATTTCTAGTAATGGATTTGATAATTTTTATTTTAATCTTTGGAAATTTTGGGATTTTTACACATGGTTTTTTTGTTATAAAATTGATATTTATTTTGATCTTGTAAATAACATAGTAGTTATCATAAAATTTTATCATACAGCATAAATTTTATCTGATAAAACAGTGTGTATTTTATTGATTTGCTAGATTTTAAACATTATATAGAGGTGATATCTAAATTTACCCTAGATTAACATATATGATATTAATATACCATAAATAAAAAAAAAATTTTAACGTAGATATATATTAATATCATATGATAAAAAAGTATATTTTAGTATTATATAAAGGTTATAGGATAAAAATGTATAATAAAATGACTAAATTTATGTATATTTTTTTTGAATTTTTATTAGTATCACAGATATGACCTCTATTATAATTGTCCAGGGTCCTACGTGTGCACTGTTGGGTGAAGTTTTTGCTCAGAAGGTATAGTTCGTATGAAACAGCCATTTTTAGCATAAATGCCCTTCTTTCTTCACAAGGCATTCACAGGATCTACTATATTGCAAATAAAAAAAAGATTATGTTGATAAAGAATAAAACCCTGATATATAAATTCCATCCAGATCGATCCTTTCACAAGTGTCCCAAAAGCATAGGGAAAGAGAAGCTTCTTCTATCCAAGTCATAGAATCCAAGGAACACATTACAAGATCAGGACTGACCAGCTGTAGATAAAGCGAAACGATTAAAACTTAAATTATATTAATTAGCTAAATAATTTATTATTAACTATTAATTTGCTAATAATAATTATATAATATTTAAAAAGCTAATATAAATAATAAAAAAAATAGAAAATTGCAAAAGTTTACTAGTGGTAATAATTATTATATTAGTTGTGATTATTAAAAAAACTTTAAATAGTATAGGTACATTTTGTAAGGTAGAAGAAGTTATAAATAAAAGATATGAAAAAAAATTAGATATTACCTCTTAAAGTAAAGTATATAACAATTGGACTTTCACATCTTTCTTCTCAATTTTTTTCAGATATTGATGCAGTTATTGTTGAATTTTTAATTTCTTTTATATTATCTTTACAATGATTTCAAATTTCACAATCATTTACTTATGAAGAGTAGCCAATATCTTGTTCATTTGATGTATAAATTATTTTTTAAGAAAATAAAACTATTGGTATTGATTAATATTTATAAATAAAAATATTATTTTTTATTATAGAACCCATCTTCTGATACTCTAAATAATAATTTCATAGAAGATATAGTAGATAAATCACAAGTAATATTAAAAGGCATATTAAATAATGTGGATATATAAAATATTGTTAAAACTTGAAAAGTTTGTCAAGTAAAAGATATATTTCAAAAAGAAAATTTAATAGTTCTTTTTAATGATGGGTCACATATTTGTACTTGTTTGAAAACAATTACAAAAGGAATAATTTGCCATCATTTTTAAAGAATTATGCTTTATTCTAATGCAGCAAAATTTCATATTAGTATTATTTCTATAAAGATAATATTTTAATGAAATTAAATAATAGTATATTTAAAAATTCATCTGTTCTTATAGCAGTAAATTATTTAATATAGCAATATCACATATAATAGATTTTATTTTTCAAAATTTAAAAAGCATTTTGAAGAAACTTATAATAATGAAAATATTTAACAAATTATTTCTAAAAGAAATAAATTTGAAGTAGTATTTTTAATTATGAAAATTGCAATTAATATTGCATTAGAAACTGAAGTGTTAGTGAATTAGTAAAATTATTAAAAGATTTTATTTCAATTAAATAAAAAAGTCAAAATGTAATTAATTTAAAAAATAATATAAAAGTAAAAAATATTGAATATAACAAAAATCATAATAATATACTTCTTTTATAATAACAACTAATTAATGTATAAACAGCAGATTCTTATGTTACTAAAATTTAGAAAGCTTCTTGTAAAAAAAGAATAAAGAGTAATATTGAAGTAGTAAAAAGAAAAAAGATAATGCATGAAACTTTAAATTATGTTAATACTGTATACAGTGTTTATTTTTTACTGTGCGACATGTGCGCAGCGCACATGATCAGAATTTTACGCACACCTTTTTTAGAAAGGATGTGTGACATGCACACAAAAAATTTTGAAATATTCTTATGTGATTGGACGCATATGTATTACAGTACCTATTATAGTAGTATAGCCATACCACTTTGTCGCACTTTTATCAAAAAATTAACACTGACTGTATATAAGAAACTAATAATAGTGGAGTAATATTAAGGTCATAATAAAGATATTTGATATGCAAAAAACTGGAACATTATCAAAGAAAATGTTCAAATATGAAAAAGTAAGATAGAGTGTGATGATAAGATATAGTGCAATATATATATAAGTTTGTTATTTTTAACTATATAAACACTTTTATCAGAAATTAAATTATTTTGGATTGCTATAATTATAAATAAAATTCTAAATTCAATTATGGTATTCCAAATTATTTTAGTACTTTATATAATAAATTACATATAAACTAAATGAATCATAGTATTTCAAAATAATTTGGGTAGCATATAAATTATGCTTGTAACCGAAACCTTTTTACATGATTTTTAGCCACATCTTTAAATCAAAATTAAGTTAAAAAATGATAAAAATTAATCTCTACATCCAGCCAAAACTATAATATAAAGTCTTTAGAGTTTTAGATGGATTTCTGGATAGTTTTTAATAACTTATTATAATTAAATTACTGAAAGTTCGAAACCCTGTCCAGCTTCATAAAGGTTTCGGCTACATGTATAATATAAATCTTATTATTATTTCATTAATAAAATATTTAATAAAGAAATACCAATTGATTTAGAAACTACTTAAATTTATTATATTATCAAAGGATCCAATTTAAAATACCAAAAAGTGGATATAACTGTATAATCTGAGATATATAGTCAGACTCTATATAGTTAATTATCTAATTAATTTTACAAAAATCGGTGACTATATAGAGGCTTTTACTATGATGTGATTATATAAAGATTTTTTATATAATAATTATATATATTAGTATTTTCCAAAAGTATAATTATATAGAAGAATTTTATATGATATGACTATATGAAGTGTAATTATATAGAATTTCACTTGATTTTACCTTACTTTTTTCTTAAATTCTATTGGTTAATTAGCAAAAATCATAATAATATAATATAAAATTTTCTTTATAGTAGAATCTGTAAAAAATTTTATATATGATTTTTACTTTAGGTCTAAGGTAGCTTATTTAATAATAAGTAAGCAGAACTTTAGTCTAACTGTATATGAAATATTCTAAATAATATTAATTTAAATTAAAATAAATAATTAATAATAAAATAAAATAATAAATAAAATCTGTTATTAAAGTATCTGTTTAAAATAAAATAATATTATAAAGTTGTAATTTTATATTTAGAATATTTGCTATTTCTATTCCAAAAATCTTCAATACAATATTAAATTTAAAAATACTAAAATAAATTAATCTCCAAAATTCTTTGATTGTTAAATTTTTTTATTTATGTTTTTCTTTTATTTTTTTTATATAAGCATATGTATTTGTATTTTTAACAATAGTTTTTATTTATTTAAAAGAAAAAAAAACAAAATATTGAATAGAATAATGATAAAATAATTTCTTTAGGTAAAGTTATTGTAAATTTATATAAAGATTTAGAATATTAAAATTTATTAAAAATAAGTGGAAAGAAGTTATATAATTTATTTATTACTACTATAAGACTATAACTATAACTTTTTTTTTATTATTATTTCTATTTTTACCTATACCTCTACCTTTACTTTTACTTTTAATGTTTTCTTGCTTTATTAATATTATTTGTTAATAAAATATTTTGTAAAAATTTAGCAATATACAAATTATATTCATGCTCTTATAAAGCTTCCATCATAAAAAATAAGGTTAAATATATGTTAAATATATAGGAAAAATAAATAAATAAAAAATAAATAAAATTTAACAAAAAATAAAAATTCTGAAATGCTAATTTACATATTTATTTGTACTTTAATTTTAATAATTAGTAAAATTAATAACTATAATTTCTATAGCCAAAATGTACTAGATTAATATATCTGCAAAATTTTATGATGATCTGGCTAAAATTAAGGGATTTATTTAATACCAATTATTCTAGTAAATTTGCCTGCAAAACAGTTTAAAAAATGGTATAATATATAGGTATAAAAAATAATAAGTAATTTACTTATTCTTTATTAATTTTAATAAATAAAATAAATAATAATACATATTATACATATTATATTCGAAAATATATATAGTTAAAATTAATATTATATAAACATTAAAATATTATTTGTGGAATTCAATTGAGATTAAATGATAAGTAGTTTATAAATTAATAATATTAATAATATTAGAGTAGTTTGTAGCATAGTATTTCTATAAATTTAAAATTTGTGTTTGAATATACTTTTTTTTTATATAATAAAAATGCTGATTTTTTTGAATAAATACAGTTTATATTTTACTTATAAATAAACCTTGAAATCTTACATTATATATATGTATTTTTGCAAAAAGGAATATCATAAGGATGCGTTTAATCATAGATGCGTTTAAATTTTAAATCCTATTGGATATTTTTATATATATAATAATTCCAATAAATTTATAAATACATTGCAGTTAAAAAAGTATAGAATAATTTATCAATGAAAATGAATCACAGTTTTCAAAATATTACTTAAACAGAGACAGTATTAATAAATGTCCCCTTACATATTTTTTTGAATTATACGTTGATTTCTTTCCAAACATCAATCTCAATTCGAATTTTGACCATATAAAAGTAGTAATGTGATTTTTTTTTTTATCTGTAATTGTCAGTCTCGGAAATTGCATCGTGTCACATGATTTATTCTTCCCAACGATATTCCAAAATTTGACACATGTGACGTAACTGCGGAAGATTTTGTATTCACGCGCAGTGGCAAAAAAATAATTTTATACTAATCGTCAAACGGATACTGTGCCATTCGAGCAGGTTAAGTAGGACGAGTTCTACAGTCTCTTGTAACGGATCATCTTCAAAAGTTGCCATAGAAGGATCTACACTTCCTCCTTCCTATTAATTATGGCGGCAGTTTAGAAGAACAAAAGCAGAGTTAATCTGTTTTTTAATATAGGATAGCGTTTTAAAATTTTAGCAAAATTTAGCATTATGAAAGCACTGTTGAACTTATCTATTATTTTTTTTCATATCTGTAAATGCTAAAATAACTTCAGGATTAGCAAACAGTATATCCTCAAGTCTCATTTATAATTGCCCTCTTTTTTCTCATATCCATTCAAAAAAAGTTTAAGTTCTCAGATATATAATTGGGTTATCACTCCAAAGATCTTTGATATAACTCGGCCGATCTTATAAACCACGTGTGTGACGGTAAAAATTTTGGCAATAAAGTAACGACAGTAACGTGTATAATTTTTTTATTAGTATAGTGTACAATGTAACATGAAAGCATACACGAGTTAAAAAATTTAAACCAAGATGTGAGCAAACAAATTTCATTTTATTACATAAATTCCACTACATCCAGTGCCTCAAAAACAGCAAAGTAAGGAAAGGCAATGGCGTATCTGAAATTTTCTGTTACTCATGCCACATGAAGGATACCAAGAGCTTTTCCGTTTTTGCCCACAACGCTTGTTCCCGAGTCTCCAGGCTCAAAGTCTCCATAATTGAATTTAAATACCAATTGTCGATCAAACCATACAGTAGGATAACATTTCTGACGCTTTTTATCGATTTCTTGGATCAATGGTGACTTCATGTATCCGATGAATATTTCTTTGTAATCGTTGTTATTATGGGGAGGAATTTGGCCTTGTTCTTCTTGCGCTTCTGCAAATTTATGCTTTCGTTTGTTAGATCAATTGAAATAGCAGAGTCAATAGGAAGCAATTTTCCGCCTGTAGCTCTTCCTACTTTAAAGACACCAAATTCATCATCAACATTTTTAAACTCTTCGTATGTATAAAAGCCATTTAGACGAGTATTTCCGGGAAGATTTTCCCTTTAAAAGTACTCTTAGGAAATTGTAAATCTGTTTGGGTGTAATGTACGATTGGAGTTTTCGAAAATACAAAATGCAGCATCAATGCCAAAGTTCTTCTTATGTACTCTGGACTCTGGAGAAGAAGTTTCTTCGTATACCACGCACATAACAGGTATGAAAACTAAGGAGTCACATACATACAATGTATAATTGGTTGGATGAGCGTGGACTTTATCACACTACTACCCCAAATGATATTACTTATTTCTGACGTTTTATAATTCCAATAAAAATGGTAAAAAAGTTAAAGCATAGAGAATTATTGATGAAAAAATATTTGTTTTCTGATATTGAACAATAGAAGTGTACACGCGAAAGAATCACATAATGAATGAAGCCATCGCGCTTCTCCTCCCCATCGGGTTAAGACAGCATCCAAACCCTCCTCGACAGCATCGAGGGGCGTAGTACACTCACTAGTTAACATGTACACACGCGAAAGAATCATATAATGGATGAAGCCATCGCGCTTCTCCTCCTCATCGGGTTTAGACAGCATCCAAACCCTCCTCGACAGCATCGAGGGGCGTAGTGACATGTAACTTTGCTGATGTTCACTTCATATGCAACTAACCTTGAGCAATTTCTTCAATGACTGTGCTTTCTCCGCCACTCGTTTATCAGATGCACCAGCGAGAATGATTAACTCGTCGCCTAACGAAAAATGGGCCTGTTCTTTTTTTTTGAAGACTTGGATTTTTCTGAATCCAGAACATGTCGAACGATTCAACCGACCATTGTTGAAAGTTTGTACTTAACCAGTATTCTATAAATCGGAAGTTATATGCGACTCAAAATGTGTAAATGTTGGTGGTTGTGAAAAAATAGGAACTCACCTTCATAATTAAGATTAGAGGTAGAGAAATCTTATCTTCTATAGAAGACATTTTAGAGGAAAAAATATGTACTAAACTAGGAAACGCGGGCGATTTAGATTATTTAACGCGCACAAAATTAAGCAATATGATTGGCAACACTCGCGTAAACGCAAGTGTTAATATAGGTTTTTATGTTGCACAGGCATTGCGTCATGTGACCCGCTTTTAATATTTGAAATAAAAACGTTGCCGGAACCCGGCTACAATACATAAAAAAATTGCATCGCCAATACATAATAGTTTGAATAAAAAAAATTTCTGACTACTCATTAGGGAATGTGAATACGATCATCATCATCAGGCGTCTCGTTAAAATAAGGAAAAATCCTATCTTCTGTTCGCATAGGGTTCTCTGCAGAATAATTTTACGAGGAAGTCATTATGATCGATTGGCCACAACCTTTTTCTCACTTCATTTTCAAGATCTGAAACTTTTTTATTCTTAGAAATCTTGATTGTGTTCTTATTTTCTGCATTACGGAGGCGGAAGTTAAGACATACAATATCATTATCTGTGCTGGAAGACATTTTGCTTTCCTAAATACAAGAGCCCATAGTGAGAAAAACTCGCTCCCATACGTACATAACTTCCAGCATATACGTACATACCTTATTTTGCGTTATTTTTACGGGAATGATTTTTGCGGAAGGTTGCTTGAACTTCCACGAGTTCTTTCATGCTTTATATCTTAATGGGAAAAAAGTTAAAGAGGTATGAGGCGTAATTAGCATTGTCGTATGATGCCAAGAGCTCTATGAAAGCACATGCAAACGGAATCTTCATATCTTTTCACATGTAGATCTACCTTGCAAGACATGGTTTTACGCCTGGCGATCTAGGAATTGCGAGTCCCTCAGCCCTTCATAACATATGCTTATGTCGCCACTATTAACTTGTAGAGTAGGCCCTGTGTTGCGTGTAGACTTCCTTTCACATTTTTCTCACATTTATTCGGGGAAAAAAAAATAAAGAATAAAGGTTAGTATGTTATCTTTCGAATGTATATGCGAATTAATAGACCTGTTTTTGTCACACAATTTGTGGCTCAGCAAAATCTTCCGAGCTGATGATCATTGCTCCGGACATCATGAAATGTAGTCAGACTCGGAAAAATAACTTGAATCGGAAGAAATGGATTCGGTTTCTGTCTCTGTTTCAGAATAGCTCGAATCGCAATATTCGCTTAGGTCAATTGAGGCATTCTGATCAATATCATATGTATCGTATGTTTCGAAATCTGGCCATATTAGCTCATAAAACTTTTCCAATGAATTAATGGATTTCTCGGTGTTATTTCTCGCATTATACCATTCGGGAGTATACATATATATACGTGCTAGGGCTGAATTTTGCCTGTTATTATTGATCTTATTAATCGCATTTGCTGAAATTTCCTTGAATTTTGGATCTTTACTTGCCATATCAATAATTGACTGTATCAAATTATCTAGATCTTTATGCGAAAGCTGATGGATTATAACACCCATTCCAGTACTCGATTCACTAAACCTGCATACATGCTCACATGAGAGGATGCCTATCTGTTTTGAGTTTTTATCATGCACAACAGCGCTGAGGGTTCCAGACGTTTCCCGAGATTCAGCTATTCCTATACTTGACCCTAACTCAACATCTTTCTGATAAGCTTGACAAGAAGTAACACCATAACCATAGGAAGTTGCAAATCAAGCCTCAACAGCGTCTACTGGATACCCACGAATTTCATCCGGGAATATGTCACATCCACGGCGCAAAATGCCCTTCTGACGAACATATAGTATGATAGCGGAGATTTCAGTAAGCTTGCCTTGAGTTCGCTTATAACCGGTGCTCACGCCGACCAGATTATAATGCATTTCGCGGAAAGATTACCCTAGTTCATTATCTAAGGCTTCATCAAAAGCCTTCTGCAATTTTTTTGGGATCTTTTCAAGGTTGGTTGCGACTCGTGGGGACTTCGTTGTCGAATTTCAGCATTAGCAAACCTTTCCTCTACTGTTATGAAACGAATCATTTGATCTTCCATGACAGTCACAGTTCTTTTGCGTAGGTAAGAAATATCGCGAAAATCACGTAGACACGCCAAGTTGTATCATCTTCCTTAAGACTTCGACCCCAGAATATGTCCACGACGCCTTTCTCCGAATGTAGCTGGCGGAGGCGATTCTCAAGAACATCATCCCAAGGAATTGGAAAATGATCAATGAAGAGACTATCTTCATATTTATAAGAAACAAATTTATAGATTTTATTTCGAACTTCATACCATTGATTCTTAGGCTCTGAAAATCATAAGGGATAGGGGTTTCATCCGGTTTTAATTTCCTTACCATTCGTATAAATTCTGTAAACGAAAAATATTTTCCATCTTTGGTACCAAGACAACTCTCGCGTAATGTTGCTTTACAAATACGATCTCTGCCTAGATATTCTACACTTCCTTCTTCATTCAAAAGTCCCGCCTCAAGTACAAGTTCAAGACTAATATGTTTCAGCTTAGTGGTTTGAAAACGATGTGAATGTGCTTGTCGAGTTGTTTGTCAGTGAAATAACTACTAATCTTACTCCTTGCGAGGAGTTGATCGTTGTTATGAAGTGTAAGTTCACTTAGTTCCTTATCATTATCAGCGCGAATTTGAACCTTCCATATCTTAAGCCTATCTGCATCGAAGAAATTAAATTCAAAATATCTTTTTCGCTTTAATAGCTTTCTTGAGTTGCCAATATCTTCATTTATGTTGATACTTAAGGAAAAAGCCTTGAGAATTTGTGTTTCCTTGAACAAGACAAAATAGTGTTATGTCAGCCATCTGTTGGACAGTGTTGGTACAAGTGAAAAAAAAATTGTTCCGGATATTCACAAAAAAATAATATCACAACGTCATATGACTTAAAGCGCGCTCACAGAACTCTCAGTTGCGTTCTTTTAGGTGGACTCGTCATCATCTGATGTCACTGAAATAGGTCTGGATCCAAAATTTGTTCAGTGACCTGATTTCTATCAAGCCAGATATTTCATCAGATGAAGCGTCCATACTGTCAACCATTTTCATATTACACATATTACACGACGAGTAGTCCTCAGAAGCAGAGATATCATCATCTGTGCTAGGTGATAATTTCGATTCTTGATGATTATTAATGATCTCTGTACTGTGTGATAAGTCAGAAGCAACTTCTTGACTCACGCTGAAGTTTCTTATTGCGTTGCCTTATTCCATCACTAACACTTTTCTTTTGCACTAAGTCTAAAAATTCGTCAATCTTCCTATCTTCTTTGCAAAGTGAAGAGCTGGCATTATTGGGCTGATCTACAACGGAGTTAGGTACATTGTTAACCAGGAGAAACATCTTGGGTTTTCAGTTTGTTCTCCTCTTTGTCATCCCTTAGTTTCACTACTTCGGCCTTAAGCTCAGAGATCTCAACATCAAGCATACTTGGACACAAGTTTAGTAATATCTGTCTAATTTTTCTCTAGCTCATCGATTCTGGCTTGAGCTCGGCATTTTCAGCATCACGCCTCTTATTCTCTTCCACACCCTGTTTTAGAAGCTCGGCAATCCTGGCCTTAAGCTCAGATTTCTCGGCCTCGAGCTCAGCAAACTTCCTTCTAAGATCAGGGATCTCAGTATTCTTATCCTTAAGCTCAGCATTCTCGCACTTAATCTCAGCAAATTTCTTCCAAAGCTCTGCAATCTCAGCTAAGAGTTTAGCATTTAATTCTCTTAATAAAATATGGATATATTCAAAATAAAAAAATCACGTGCGCGATAACAATTGCCAAGAAAAAAAATTAAAAAAATTTTATTATTACATGCGTGAAAATAAATAAAAAGCTCGGGACTGTGTCCGTGACACAGTATATGCGAAAAAAAAAATAAAAGTTCAGGATACATGGCGAAGTTTCTATGCTAATGTCTAATGTATAATCCTACAGTCTAACTAACCACCTGACATTTACGTGACTTGAAAATTCGTCTCGTGTTCTTTACGAAAAGTCTATAAAATCATATTTATTTAAGAAACTAGGATTACAAGAGATCGTAATACAGGAATTTATGAAATAATAAATCTAGCAAGTTAGAATATTTGACTGTTCCTCCCTGAAAAGCTTTCTCTTCTTTTTTGTGTCCGCCCGACTTGCCATCCCGAAGTCAATCAGGTAGATGTCACCGTTGTCATTAATTAAGATGTTTTCCTCCTGAATGTCATTGTGGAGGATGCCATGCTTGTGGATCGCTTCTAATCCCTTAATAGCCCTTGACTTTTGCCGTTTCTTTATTTTTTGCTCGCTCAACGAAGTGCCAACAGTGTTCATGCCAATAACGAAGCTCATTCCCCCTCCGTAATATCAGTATCACACTAACTTTGGGAAATACTTGCCTTGAATATCAGCGAGGTCCTTATAAATCTCTACTTCCTTCTGCATCTCTTCCAGAACATACGGTGGGGCTTCGCACTCTTCAAAGCAATCGTAACGCCACGAAACACGCATAGGAGTGTTTTACCATTTCGTCCTTCACCTAATATGCCCTTAAACTTGAAGTCCGAGAAGCTAAACTTTTGCTGTTCTACAGAGGTGTTAAAAGACGATTGTTTATATACCGATGTGCTGGAGGCCTGTTGGGGCTGGAAGACGATTTTGAGTGTGACCGAAGAGAACGTGAATTATTGTCTCCATGAGCCGGCATTCGCCTGTCGAGTTATATAAGCGTATGCCTTGAGTTCAGGTGGGAATACCGACTGCAGTGGAGTTTTTGAGATCCAAAGCTCTGTATGCTCCCGGCGTAGAAACCAGTGATTATCAAATACCGTATCTACGTTTATTTCCCCATATAGTTGTAGATTTGTTGAATCACCGTTCTTGCCTTTTTCATCCGCCTGATAAACTCGGGAAATGTTTTCCATTACATGCTTCCTCTTAACTTCGATCACCAATATCAATGATTCCACGAAATAGTGGCAGGTGAAATCAGGTACGCCAGGAGCATCGGGTTGACGTTTTGAGAATCTATATTCTGGCCTTGCAAGCTCATCTAACACCAGACAAATATTGACATTCAATAGCAAAAAGAACATCCTCCTCATTTAATACCACTTTATCTTGAATAAGTTGCGGTCTTTTCGAATCTCGGTTGTTGGAACCTGTTCACTTCCTCGAAAAGTATTCCATAAATGTACTCTTTGTTGGAGGGTCACCATTGACCTTCGTAGTTCTTTGATGTAGTACATCATATATATTTCGGAGAATATGCTATAGGTGGTGGAATACACGACAACGCTGAGAACTGGAAACGAATACGTGTTAATATTACGAGTGTAAATAACGAAAATTTACGATTATATGGATATGTTCCTCGGGAGGTGAATCAGGGAAGTATTTCGAAATTTTTGCTTATTGCCAACAATTCGTCACTGTCCTGGAGTATTAGAAATTCTTAATTGATCGTCGCGATCGCCAGGGGTCGTCACCTTTCATAGTTAGCGAAAGTTTGCGCATTTTTCGTCTTTATAACCTCCTTAAGGTAACCGACAAGACTATTCCCTTCTATATGAATAGGGAAAGCGTTCTGATAGACGTGTTTTCGGCTTATATAGTATTTTTTGCGAAATTTTATTGGTGCAAACTGGCGTAAGAAAAAATACCATTCCCCTGTCGCACAGATCTGCCGTGACGCCACAGTGGCTTAGTATTACACAGATCATTTATCTTTTATATATTCACGTGATATTTTCAGTCCGTAAGGACAAAATTTCTTAATTATTACAAAATATACTAAAATAATAATACGTATTGGCGTTTGGTTCGTGTAAAATAAGAATTTCTTCGTTTTCAGGATTTCCACTCAGATATTTTTTTTTAGGATATAAAGGATAAAAAGGATAAAAAGGATAAAAGGAATCTTGGTCTTGATAAAATATTAAAAGTATTCCTTTAATAAAGTTCTTGAACTTAAAAAAAAATTTATTACTGAGTATATTTATTACTGCAGTAAGTACAAATAAATCAATGAGATGCTATTTTGTATAAATTCCAAACATTCCAACTTTCCAATGTTTATTGTAAATTATATTATAGACTTTAATCCCTAAGCACATTATAATTATAAGCTAAAAAAATAATTGCTTTCACAAAAAAATATCTGCCTAGTTATATAAGATCCCTTAACGTAAAAAATTTAATTCCGGAACAAAAGCAAAATGAAGAAAATTGATTACAGCATCCGGATCAACGTACAACTTTGAAAGATCTTTCTCTGAGAGAAGAGCGTGAATTTCTCTCAAATGATTCTTCATTTTCCTTATAACACTAGGGTTAAAATCTGGACACATCCTGCATTTGAAAACAGGATGCTCGTCAAGATGATGATTAATTGCTCCTTGAACATCCAGAATGTCATGATATTGTGTGTTTTCCATCCTTGACCCACTTGATACAGATAATACGGCAGCCTCCCGCTGCAATTGAGGAATTATTGTGCTATAGATGTACTCTTTTTTATAATACCCGCCATATTCTTTTGATGGAGATTCTGGAGGGTTAATAAAAGATGAACAAAATGGAAGATATCGGAATAGCACATCATGAATACCGATAGTATAAGGAATAGTTTTCGCCGTTCTTTTATTTCGTTGCTTAACTCCCAATGCGACTAATTTAAGATGTTTAACAATTTCATTTCGCCTGTTCAAAACTACCCTATCTTGTGTTGAATTATTAATATTATATCGGACCAATTGATTAGATTGGTTAGATTGGTTTCTTGTAGGATGAGACATAACGTTTTCCCATAAAGGGGTTGAATTAGGTATACTTCTTATTATTTGCATAGAGTTTGGATTAGAGTCGTGTGGTAATTTTGGACTACTATTATGTTTCAACTTTTGTCTTGGAGGGCCGTATAACTCCTTCCTTGGTAAATTTTCACTGTAATGTCTATCGGGCCTGATATTCACCGGTTCACTGTCTCATTTCAAATATTTCAAATAATATATTAAAGTATAAAATGTTTATTAGTATTAATATTTAATAAATAAAATCAAATTAAATATTACTATGGTAAAATAAGCTAAAATAAAATTTACAAATAAAAAATGAATCATAAATTACAAATAGAAATATTTTAATCGTCAATAATATACCTTCTTTTAGGGATTTTTGATGGTTGTAGTGAACTATTAAAAGTATCATTCATTAAGTTACTTGGTAAAGGTCTAGAATTTAAAGCCTCGATCAAATTTAATTGAAATATACTCCAATTTTTCTGTACAAATGGATTAATCTCAATTTTTGATAACATTTCTGATACAATCGTATACTTCGACAAGGTTTCTGGTGTATAAGAGGTATATCGATCACAAAACTTTCGAATAACGTTCTGTAAATGATCTTTCTGTTCTTTTAATTGCTCTTGCCAACATCTCGTTGCCCAATGATATCGATCAAGAGATTCATCGATAACATTTTGGATCTCTTGTTTTTTCTTAACAGTCCACTCCCCACGTTTTAAAATATTTACACCCAAGAAATTACTTTGTGATGACGTTATATGAGGAACCCAATAATATTGAGTCTGTCCATCATCATCTGGACATGGAACTATATGAGGAGTTCCTGTAAAAACTTCACTCTCTATCTTCCATTCCACTTCGAGCTCTTGACGTCTAAAGTAATAAATAATAATAATAATCGACTAAATATATTATCCTTCATGTGAATATTTCTTTCAGATAAAAATTTTCTCAACTTGAAAGAACAATTAAGCCATTTCACTTTCAGAATAAAACGTGACAACTTTATTATAGAATAATTGCTCATTAACTTTAACGTCGCGTATTTGAAGTGAAAAAAGCTTAAAAGTTTTTACTTTAGAGTCTAAAAATCCAACGTAAAATTCAATAGGTAATAATAAATAATTTCTTACCTTTTAGCTCTTTTTTGTAAACATTCTTTACATGATCTAACACAAGCTACCCAATAAATTTGAATTCTTTTATCTTTACTTTTACAAAATTCACATCCATTTTCAAAATTTAATAATCGAGAGAACTTCTGTTCACTTAACCCTTTTGGTGGATCCATATCCTTGAAAGGAGTAAATCTCTCTCTAGATGTTTTCCAAATATCCCATGATATTGATAGAATATTTCCATCGAGCATATTTTTAAAATGCTTGCAAACACAAGCCAACATCAATAAATCTTTTGGAGGCAAATGATAACAAATATTGATAAATATTTCATAAGAAATGTTATCTTGCATTTTTGAGTCATATCTAACTGGTTCTGAAAAGAATTTCAATATTGCATAAAGCTGGTTAAATTCCTTTGGTAAAGGTACACTTGTATCGTCTATTTCCATAGAGTCCATACTAAAAGAAAACCCAAATTAATATTTTTTTCTTAAAAAAATAAATAGAGGCATGACTTTTCCGGTACTTACTTTAATTTCCAATTATTTTACTACACTAAACAAAAAGAATATGGAAGGTTGATTAATTCAGGAAAAAAAACCAAAGGTATACCAGGCTTATTGAACTTATAATACCTTATTATTAAGCTTTACCGTTTATTGATAATACCAAGCCTTCCCGAAAGTAAAAACAGTAGAGTAAACAGTCGAGAAAAATATACTAAAATATATTTGAAATACAATTGGTTGATCAATCTTTTAATTCTGATCGTGATCACGTTCAGTCAACGGATCAAGTGACACAAATTTTACTAACCATTAATATATCATGACTTCAGTAGAGTAGTAATTTTCCACAACTTTTTTTGTAAAATATATTCTTATCAAAAAACATGTCAGATTACGGTGACGATTATGATGCTCCCGACGACGCAGGGTAAAGTTTTTTTTTTTAGAAATCTCTACAAAGCTTTCGTTTAATGGAGAATTAATCAAAAATTTTCTTTATTATATCCAGATATGAAGAACTTCCAGTGAGTTTATGTTTTAAATCTCAGATAAAATTAATGTTCTTGTTGTTTATATCAGCTATTTTTTTATATTTAGTTTTTTATTGATCAAATAATTAAATTTTTATATTTATTTATTAGGAGGATGATTATAATGAACCAGATATATTAGAAGAAGAACTTGAACCAGAACTTCCAAATGGATTTGGTGGAGATGAAGTAAGAGAAGGAGGGATCAATGTACAAAATGGAGTTGCAATATTAACAAATGGTGCAGAGGGCACAGAAATGGATGTTAATAAGCAAGTAACTGTAGAAAAGGAGAAAGTTACTACTCCTTACATGACAAAGTATGAAAAGGCACGGATATTGGGCACTCGAGCGTTACAAATAAGGTAATTTAAAATTGTAAATTGATAAATTGAATTTTTTTTTAATATGATTCAGAGGTTAATGTTTTTTTTCTTTTTTTTTTTTTTTCTTTAAGTATGAACGCTCCAATTCTTGTTCCACGTGAAAATGAAACGGATCCCCTTGAGATAGCTAAAAAAGAGCTTCGTTTTAAAAAAATTCCCTTAATGATACGAAGATATTTACCAGATGGAAGTTTTGAAGATTGGAATGTCAGAGATTTGATTATTCCTGAAGATGAAGATTATGGTAGAACGACAAACCCAGGACAAGGACAATCATCACAACCATTACAATAATTTCTTAAAAAAAAAAAAAGATTATAAAATTAATTCACATCCATCATAATAGATTATTATTTCAAATTATTCAAAACGGATAATTAAAAATGGTGCGATTGTTTTCATTTATTTAAATTTTATTTTTATTTCATTTTCTCAGAGTAAATAAATCATCTACTAACTCTTAAATTTGAAATTTATATCAAATCATAGTAGTCAACCATTTACATATCTATAAACATAAACTATTCTTTATTCTTAAATCCTACTAGTTATCCATATTGCTGCTTTACAACCATTATGTATTATTGAAGTCAAAATTCCATGAAATGGTGCCTTACATGAATATAATTTAAAAATTAGATTTATAATTTTAACAAAGAAATATACGTAAATTAAATTACCTTTTGTGCATCCAAATCCACTGCAGTATCTAGATGATGTAATTCATCATCACGAAATTGTTTAATAACCTGTATAGAGTATTAGAAATTTATTTTAAAAGAAAAAAAAAGAAAAAAAAAAAAGAAAAAATTTATAATATTATTAATGAACATTTTTAAATTACCTTTCTCAATTCGGAGACATCATCGTTTTCAATGTGTAACAATTCTCGCAATTGGCTAAAAAAAAAAAAAATAATAAAAAAAAATAAATTGCTTTAATTGAACATGATTCAGTGTCTTAATAAAGTGGATAATTAGATTATATACTCATTGTAATGTTCTCCAATCACAGTTTCAACAGCTTCCGTACAAGCCATAGCAGCTTCTTTACCCATCATAGCAGTACCAGCTCCAAGAATGAATCCCGCGGCTTCCCATACTGGACGTAAAAATGTGGGTCTAACTCTATAACGTGGTATGATCTCGTCAAAAGTTTTAAGATGATATTTTTCTTGTTCCCACATTTCCTAAATTATAAAATTTTATTTAATTTTACATAATGTTTGAATCGGTTTTAACAATCAAATAATATTTACTTGAATGATAGGTCCAACTTTTTTATCGTTACCCAAAATTGCCATTTGACCTTTATAAATGTAATTTGCACCAATTTCACCAGCTTGATCAATTCTGATCATACTATCAATGAGTTTCTTTTGTTTTGGGGTTAATGAAATATTTTTATTCTGATCATGATTATTAGTTCCTTTAGAGGGAGAGTTATATTTTATAGAAGTAGTATGTATTTTATTATAAGAAAAAGTCGAATTAAAGTAATTACGACGAATCGTCAAACCAATAATTGAAGAACGTAAATAAAATGATTTATAAAACATTTTATAATAATAAAATTAATGAAATGAGTGAATGATTATATAAATTTTTTTGCCGATCGGGTCAATCAACCGCAGTTTTATTTTATTACCTTTGATTAATTAATTTTAATCTTAAGTTCTATTGATCTACCGATATAATTTAAATTAAATAACTTTTTTCATTAATATAATAATAAATGTAATAATATAAAATACAGATAAAAACATTATTTACAACCAAAAAATAAAATAAAATAATATACTGTAGATAAATAATAAATTATACATATAAAAATTTATGGTGTAAATTAATCTTCAGCCCATTTTTTGGAAGGATCTAAATGTTTATATAACCAACCACCTTGAGCACCTGGACCATAACTTCTTGCTGGTTTATATTTAAACATATTATGACTATCACCAAAATTTACTTCAATTTTACAAGTTCCTTCTGCTCCTATAGTAGGATACCATACATGGTCATCATCACCATATGAATGAGCTACACCTAAATATTCACCATCTTTTGTAAAAAAGACTTCACCCGAAGATGATCTATAACCACATCCAACCGTATCTCCTATTTCACTCCATTTCGGTCCATATTCTTGTAAATTGAATTGAGAATTATGATATTTATTTCCATTTTCTGAATGATACCCGATTGAATATTTATTGTATCCGGGCAATCTAAATCGATCAATGATTCCTCAATTATTTAGTAATTATGTTGGATAATAATTAAATATTACAACTTACCTATAATATGGATAAGGATTCGTCGTTAACCCAATAGCAATCTTAGTTACATCATCAGATTTTTCAACGATAGTAATTTCAAAATAATGTAAGTCTTCAAATAAATTGTCATTATTTTTTTCTTTTACTTCTTCTAATTCAATTTTCTCATTATTAATAATTTTCTTTGGATTAAAGAAAGGTAAATTAGATTGGATCATAATTTCATTATATTTTAAACCTTTCTTTTTAGAATTATTAAGTATTAATTCTCTTCCATTATTTCCCACTATAACAATTTCTAATTGCATGAGAATTTTTTCAGGAGTAAATCTCCAATAAGAATAATCATCTTGGTTTAATAATTCTTGTATCACATCATTGGAAGGTAAAGAATCAATTGTTTCATTATTTCTAAAGAATTCTTCAGCATCATCAAATGATTCGGAATGAATTAAAGTTGGAGGAACAGGAGGTGGATTACTTAATTCAGAATAAGCAGGTGGTTGTGAATCATATGTCGGTAAACTTGGTTGTTCCAAATCATTCAAATCATTCAAATCATTTGTAATCATCATATTAGAAGAAGAATTATATTTTTTTTTACTACCATATCTTTTACTGTACCAATAAACACAAGATGATATTGCTACAGCTACTCCTATACCTAATAATGAGAATAATGCTATACACCCACTACTGCAACTTTTATTACCATCTTGATTAACAACAATAATTGTTCCACCACCTAAAACTGATTTTAAATGATTAAAAATTAAAATAATAATTATTATTATATTATATGAATAAATCATTTGGAAAAAATTATTTATGTCATCAAAAGGAAAGAATTTTTTTTTTTTAAAAAAAAAAAAGGTAATTTTATTTTTAAATGATTTTTTTTATGCTTAACCCAATGTGACTTTAGTCAAATTTCTTTGTGTTAGTCCATTTTTTTTTAAATAAAATTTAAGTAATAAACATAGCAACGTATTTAAAGTTTATAAGGTAATACGTACATTGCTAAATTTACGATATAATTACGTCACTATAAAGTAATAATCAGTCTAGAATAAGAAGTTTTTTAAGTTAATATATTATAATATTTTTTATTTATATTATCAAGTTATAAGACCTAAAAGATTATAATGATTGCCAATTAAAACATTATAAATATTCACCCGTTTAGAATAGCTTCAAAAAAAAAAGAACAATAAAAATTTTCGCGCTCTTTATATCTTTAGTTAGACCAAAAATTTTTAAAATGATATCACAAATTCACAATGCATCTTTCACGTGAAACATTTTGTGTTCACCTGACTGGGACGTCTATATTATAAATCTTTTTTCACAATCTAAAAATTTTAGATTTTTCTAATTTTTCTTTTCTTAAACTGTTGATATAAAAATTTTTTCCGTAAACCAATTATTTTTCATTTTCGTATTATATGGAAATAATAATGAAATATGATGATGCTTCAAAATTTTTATTCTTTTATATACTACATACTTTTTTGATTAATGATTATTATACATTTAATTAGAAATTTACAAGATGATTTAATGATTTTTTTTTTTTTTTTTTTTTTTTGTGTTGTAGATAAACCAAACTAACGTTTGATCGTGAGAAAATGTCTTTATAATCGCTTTTCTCTTCTTTCCGAATTCTTATTAACAACTCTTTCATTCAAATCATTTTTTCTATCAATTAGTATTAAATTATTATGATTAATTGTATAATTTCTATTATTTTTCGTAACTTATGCTCTTGTATAGTCTCGGTGGCAATGATGAAGATGAAGAAGTGGGAACAGGGGGAGTTGCACGTCTTGTTGGTTGGTAAGTGCCATCAAATGATGATGAGGGAATAGAGGGTACAGGACGTTTTGGTGATTGGGAAGTGTTAACAACTGATGATGAAGGGGAAGTGTTATCAACTGATGATGAAGGAATAGGGGGAACAGGACGTTTTGGTGGTTGAGAAATGCTATCTAATGATGATGTGGTAGAATGTGTAGATCGTATAGATTGTAAAGAATGTGTGGATTGTATTGATGATTGTTGTTGTGGTATTGGAGGAACAGGACGTCTTAGAGAACTTGAAGATGGAACAGAAGGTACAGGACGTCTTGGAGTTTCGCTCATTTGAGGGATTCCTGAATTGTGAATATTTATTTCTATATTATTACTACTCGCGTAAGGAGGAGGTAAACCAGCACCTTGTAAGGCGGTACTATAAGCAGGAGGAGGAGGTCTTAATGCTGCATCCATTTCACCATTAATTTCATCATCATTCACATTAGGAATTCCATTATTACCACCATATCTACGAAAAATTTCTGTCAATCCACCTAATCTATAACTAGCAAATGTTGGATGTACATTATTATTACTACTGCCACCATTTGTTGATGACGATGTTGAACTATTTGAACGTGGTGGTTGAATATATATACTATTTGGATTTAAATCACTAATTCCTGTTATATTCGGTGTACCATAACAATTTAATCGCACTATTAGCTAATATATTAGGAAAAAAGATAATATTTTTTTTTAGATATATTACTTTAAAAAAATCAAAGAAGAAAATTATGAATATTTATATAAATATAGAAAAAATCAACCTACCCAATAAACGATGTAAGAAATGATCACGCAAACAATTATTATAATAATATTTTTTAATGAGGGTTGTTTTGTAGTTAATTGTAATATTGGTAAACCCACTGCTAATACACATATTAATCCTAAGTATATTCTATTAACATATTTATGAAATCCTGGATATGACATAGTTTAAAATTCGTCAAATAAATAATCAATTTATTAAAAAAATATCGATGAATTTTCTTTCCCTTTCACGAGATTTCGGTATTATAAAAAAAATAATAAATACTTTTTTTTTTCTATAATTCTGAAATTTTTTAAATAAAGGAATGAACTCTAAGAAGAATACGAAAAAATAAAAATAAAAATAAGAATACGTTATTTTTTTTTTTTTAAAAAAAAAAAAAAAAAAAAAAATAGTAAAATTGAAAAAAAGTATTTTGTTATATTATTTGTAATGGAGGTTTTTTTTATTTATAAATAATAAAATGATAACCAACATAACCAACGGAGTTTATTTAGTTCCGAAAACGGTTAAACCGATTGTATAGGCTATGTGACATAAACTTATTAATCTACTTTAATTACTAAACAATCAGGCCGGCAGACTAATCGAAATTTCGATTTCGGCGTAACTGGTAAACAGAAAAACAATAGCTTCCGCCCATTAAACCTTTTGTATAAAATTAACTAATATAATTTCCTTATGGTATTGTATTAAAGTGAGATAAATATTTGAAATTATTGATACTTATTTGTAACTTTGTGTCACATCACCTCATAAATATATAATTCTAGTCAAGAAAAATTTCATATTCCTGAAAATCCTATCAAAAAATGGTATTTCTTGCGCAGTTATCATATCCTTAAATATTTATATTAAAAAAAAAAAAAAAACAATGAATTAATTTTGTTCAATCTTTCATTCCTGTTTTTGTCTAATACCGTTGTCATTGTACAACTACTATTGATGAATAAGTAACTTTTTTTGACCAATTAAAATTTTTTTTATTAATTATAACATATTCTTATTATACGAATCAGATTTTTTAATAATGACGCGAAGAAAAAAAAAAATGGAAAAAACTTGCCAATTTGTTAACGAAAACCGAACTGGCATAAATTTACCGAATTATTTAAAAATAATCTTAAGCGCATCGGTAATCGGTGCATCGGATTATCCTTTGAAGAATATTTATTTGTTAAAGCTTTATTCGTCAGTCTGATATTCAAGTACATCAGACAGCTTTTTATAATTTTTACAAACTGGAATGATTTGGTAAAATAGATGACCCGGTAGATCGTAATTCGTGTTCCATGTACCTGCCATTTTGGATACGTAACTTCCCAAAAAAGGTATGATCTTTCTGCTTTTCTTTTTTTACTCCTTAGTGGATTCTGATTTTTACATGTAAATCACGTATTTTGTAATAAAAAAGTAAAAAGCATTGTATTGGTTATATTGTTTATGAGTGATCTTTTGAAGTTTCGTAAAAAAAATTAAAATTTCCGAAATGGTTTATTTTTCAAGGGTTTATAGGTTATCATGCGGTTACAATAATAAATATTTATGAATATTGTCACATTAGTCGTGATACCCCCGTCGGCCCGTCCCCTCTAATCTTTTCTTGGGTTCATTTTAATATATAATTTGTTACAAGTATTAATTATTGTACTCGAATAATCTAAAGGAGCATCCTTATCAATCAATTCAATATCATATTTTCTAAATATTAAAACTATTAAACATTTTAACACGATCATTGACATTCTTCGAGCAGGACAAGCTCTTAATCCACCCCCAAAAATTATTAAAGAATTTTTAATCTCTTCATTAAACATGAACCGATCTGGATTAAATTCTTCGGGATCTTTCCAATATCTTTTATTATGATGAATTCCTGCAAAATGCATAGTAAATGCTGTATTTCTTGGCCATTTATATCCCGCAATTTCATCATCTTCACTATTAAATCTTAATATAATTGGTGATACAGGTAATATTCGAGCAGTTTCTTTTATAATCGCTTCTGTATATTTTAATTTAATTAAATCTTCGGGAGTAACTTGTCTCGTACGATTTTGTCCATATATTGAATCAAGTTCTTCTCTTAATCGATTTAAAACTTTAGAATTTTTTGCGATACGATAAACAATGAAACACATAAAATGTGATGTCGTATCACTTCCTCCAATAAATGAATCTAATATTACTGACATTATCTCTTGATCTGTCATAGGTCTTGAAAATTTCTCTTCATTTGATTTTGAATAATTTTCTTTAATATCTCTTTCCGTATTAGCTATTATAAGTAAAGTTAACATATCATTATTTAATAATTTATTATCATGAATTTCTTCAATTTCTTTTCTTCTTTCTTTAACTATAGTTAAAATTCTTTGAAATAACCAATCCCTATTATTTAAAGCTTCCTTTGTTTTATTTTTAATTATAGGAACATAATGTCTTAACCAATAAGATGAAAAAACGAAAAGTGGTAAATTTCTTAAAAATTTATGTAACCTAAAAATTAATTCTTCAGATTCTTTTATAGCTATTGAAGGAATTTCTTCTTTTATATCTTCATTCTTTGATATTTTATTATAATAAATTGGTAAAGAATAAGAACGTTTTCCTGTTATAACTTCAACTATCATATCAGTTGAATATCTATGCATCCAAGGTGATAAATCAATTAAAAGATTTTCATTATTTAAAAGATTTAAATAATTTTCCATTTCATACCATAATTTATGAGTTAAATCAAATGATTTATTATTAAAACTTGGTGATAACATTGCTTGATTAATAAAATGTTTATTAAATCTCCAAGTATTTATATCACAATTCTGTAATATACCTTGAAAATTGATTCCTAATTCTATTAAACCTTCATTTTCTATATTTCTTTTTAAATATTTACTTTTAGTTGATGGTGTTAATAATTTATCAATATATTCTGCATTACCTAATATAATTCTTCTATTAGATAAATGCCATATTTCAAATATTTCTCCATATTGTTTTTGTAATAATAATATTCCATTTCCAATTCCTCCTTTTAATGTATATAAAGTACCAATTATTGGTATAGGAAATGGTCCTGGTAAAGGATTTATTCTTGTATAATATTTAAAATAAAAATTCGCGATATAAATAATAATACAAGTTAAAATAAATTTTAACCAATCATGAATTCCCCAAAATATAGGTATAAAATTTATAAAATTGGTTAAAATTATTGATGTTAACGTCATGTTTTTATTATTTTATAATAAACGCCAAAGTTCGTTAAAAAAAANTGGACAAAAAAAAAAAAAAAAATATTTGTTTTGGTATGACTAAGGTATACAATATGTAAATAATTACCAAAATTACCCATAATTATTTGATTTTGGGGTTTGGCCTTACCATGATGTTTTAAAATCGAGTTTCTTGGCATGAATAAATGCTGTACGACGTATAACTAAATTTTACAAAGATAATGTGAAACAGTGAGATGTATATGTTATACTGTAAATGTGTGAGAGATGATTTAGGTAGATGTATGTAATGTGTAAGAGATAAATTAGGTATATTGTAATGTGTAAGAGATAATTTAGGTAGATGTATACCGTAATGCGTACGAGATAATTTAGGTAGATGTATGCTGTAATAATTTTAATCTTCTTTGTGCTTCTTGAATGTAAATTGTAGAATTTAAATGAAAGATTGTATAAAAGTACTCAAAAATAACTTACACGCTATTTCTTTTAAGAAGGAAATTATAAGTTACGACATTAATTCATTTGCAAATTTAACAAATAAATATAGTTTCCTAGTTTTTTCCATAAGATTTGACCATAAGATTTGAATTACTTGAATGGATTCCTTACGATCAAAGGCAAAGAAATTCAACAAATTTAGCGGATGATACATAACGATCAAATTTAGCATAACGATCAAATTTAATTTAGCGGATGATCGATCAAATTTAACATAACGATCGAATTTAGCGGATGATACATAACGATCAAATTTGACATAACGATCAAATTTAATTTAGCGGATGATCGATCAAATTTAACATAACGATCAAATTTTGCATAACGATCGAATTTAATTTAGCGGATGATACAATCATAATGATGCTAGAAAATTGAATTTTTGCTTAATCGAACTTTTTTACCCGAACATAATATTAAAAATCTTTTACTAGAATGAATCACAATATACATATAGGATACTCAATATCTTTTCATACCCACGCGTCAAACTAATGAAAATTTAAATATTTTTCAATTCTCAGAATTTAAATACATAACGTATTCAAATTATAAAAAATGAATTCTAATTATAATTATATATTAAAAGTCTAAAAAAAAAAACGCGATTATACAATGAATTCAATGAATTCTTTGATATTTGAGTAACCTCACGACACATCCTCTTGAGCGTGTCACGCGTTATCATATTTTCTTTTATCTATACATGGGGGGTGAATTAGGTTCAAACCATGCCGAAATATTACGACACATTACACCAATTTGGCGTAATACTGTTTTCATATGAACCTTCGAATTTGATGTAATATATTTCACCATTACGCCTCCTTAAATGCCGAATTATTTACGCCCCCCATGTATATCTTTATATCACATTTTTAAGTGGAAGTATGCAAATCGATTGTATCATCACGAGAATCTTTGTCGCATCATTGACATAAATGATCGTTTGTGAATCATAACTTTGACCACCTTTGCTTATATCATTTCACAAATGGAAATTTGATCAGAATAATAATATTAAAATAAATGAATTCCTCATGTTCTTTTCATAATATTAAATTCATATTTATTTCACATATAAAATATATTATAAAATCTGACGTTAGATTAAAAAACGCGTTCTTAATAATATATTTTGAATTCACGTGAGATAATGACAAAAGAAAGGAAGTTATGGTTAGTTCGTGATACACAACATAAATAAAAATTGTCTTAATATTCCCCAAAAAAATAAAAAAAGCAATGCATGCACTAAATTTAAAATTAGCCATTTGATAAATATATCGTAAAATTTTTTTGATGCTTACATTTCAAACTTCCCGCCCAAAATATTTATGCATTTTAAGATTAAAAAAAAAAACTTAAAATCTTTTTATATATTTTTTGTTACTCAAAATATACAGTAATTAATTAATTAAAAATATTATTATATATATAATTTATTATATCTAAAGAATAATTTCAGGTATAAAATAATCTATTTACATATATATCTAAAAAAAAATAATAATAATATATATATCAAAAAAGTTAACTGTTAATATTATTAATAATTAAATTATATTCTATAAAGATATAAACTTACCTAAATTATTATCATGAATAGATAGGGATGATAAATTAATCCTTTGAGATAAAACTAATTGATCAAGCCTTTCCTTCCATTTTTCTTTTTTCCAAGTATCATAACCAGTTAAATGAGTAGGATTGTAAATAATTAAAACCAATTCATTAATATTTGTACAATAATTAAAAGCAATATCACCAGCAACTTCTAAATCATGAATATTAAGACCTAATTGACGTAAAGATTTTCCATAAACTCTTAACATAGATAAAGTAATATTTTGTAATTTTAAAGAATAAATTATATGTAATTTTTGTAAAATAAAGGAACCATCAAGTATAGTATTAGATAAACCTTCACAATAATATAAATAAAGATTTTTTAAATTATGAAGATTATTTAATAAAATCATTGAAGTTTCAGTAAGATAAACACAATCTAATTTAATTGAATATAAAAAATTTTTTTGAGATTGTAAAGAAATTAAAATTTGTTCAAAATTTAACATAAAATTTGAAATATTAAATTCTAAAAGATTATTTTGTGAAATGATAATATTTGATAAATGATGAATTACTTCAGAATTATAATCATAAGATTGAAGTTTAATATCCAAAGTATGAATTTGTTTACATTTAAAAGAAATTAATTTTAAGAAATGAATAGTATTTTTTGTTATAGGTTTATTATAAATAATTTGAAATTTAGTAATTTGAAACAAACCATATTGTGATTGAGAAAAATAATTAGAAAAATTTGGAATATCTAAAAAATCAAAATATGTATCAAGATTAAGGGAATAAAGATTTGTTGATTTTTTAAAAAAAAATTTTAATAAAGAATTCAATAAAATTTTCATTTGGTCAGGATAATAATTATTATAACTATTTTTTCCATACCATTTATGAATAGTTGAAGATACACAAATTTCCAAATCTTTAAAAGATAATTCTTGTAAATAAATGGAATAATTTAATTTTGTTTGATGATTAAAATTTGAGGAAGGAATTTTAATTTTATAAGGATTTAATAAAGAATTTAATAAATTAAATTCTTCATTATTAAAACATAAAAAGAAGGTTCTTAATAATTTAAAACAATTTTGATTTGATACGATAGAAAATGGACGATTCCATAAAAATGGTACAACATTTTTACACCAATAACGATTTACAAGTAATGAAGGATAAAGTTTTGAATCTTCTACTTGTAAAAGATAATTAAATATTTGTTCCATACATTCTGTTGGTAATAAAGGGGAAGGAGGTTTTTTAGTTTTCATTACTTTTCTTTTAAAATTCCTTCCCCTTTTAAACCTTTCAAATATTAATTTAAAAACAAAACAAAATATTGTCATCATTTATAATAAAGTGAGAGAGAAAATATAAAAATATATAAAGATAATGAAAAGTAAAAGAAATTTTTATATATATATATATAAAAATGATGAAAGAAAGAAAAGAAAGAAATTTTAAAAAAAGTCGTTTCTTATGATATAATTTCAGTTCTTTATTTATCATAATCGCCTCGTGTTACGTTTCCATTTACAATAGTCAGTTGGTGTGTTTGATTAAGTAATATTTAATATATACAATTCATGTTTCAAAAAAACTTAACTGTATACGGATTCTCCACTTTCTATAAAAAACTAATTAGGTTTAAGATAATTATTTTGATGATAATTATTGAAATTGATAAATAAGGGTGCATTGCTGTAAGTACTGCGAGTAAAAAAAAAGCGGGCAGTGCTCTTTAAATATATAAATAAATTCCCATATTTATCCATTAAAAACCATAAGTTGATCCTACCTAAAAATTGTTACAAAAACATTGATTCAAAAAACTCCATAACGCCCTCTGATTTCGGCCCAATGTAACAAACAACTAAAATGTAACATTTTTTATATAAACATTTGCTAATTATTTATTTCAATATTGATCGCATTCACCGCAGTTCAACCTTTGACCGCAGTTAAATAAATATATTAAAATGTTGAATCAATATTTAATTCGATAATATTTGGACACAATGCGATTATTTTCTTTTGAAAAGGTTTAAAATGAATATTAAGATCTAATACTTTTAATGTTCCTCCACAAACATTCAATATATCCAACAACATATTATAAAATGATGGTACACATGATATTTGTAATCTTTCTAATCTCAAATCCTGATTTAAAATATTATTTGTAATATTCTTACAAAAGATTAATGTAAGATCCTTTAACCTTTCTAATTTAACAAGAGTATTTAAAGAATCTTCAGTAAATTTAACAAATGTGAAAGAAAGTTTGATTAAATAATTTCTTTGATAAGAATATAAAGATTCCATTATTGGATCAATATCATTATTTCGATTAACGTGAGAGATTCTAAATTCATAAAGTCGTTTTTGTGATTTAATTAAATTTATGATCATCTTTAAAATATTTTTCTTTGAATAATCTAAAGAAAATAAACTAATTTCCAAACAAGTAATATTCTTACAATATGTTGAAATAAATTGAAATATTTTTGATTTCCCTTCAACGATTGCACCAATATTTTTTATTTTAAATTTATTAATTCCAAATAATCCAGGATAATCATATACATGTACTTGATGTACTTGATGTACTTTATGTACTTCATCATCATCACCATCATCATCACCATCATCATCATTATCATCAATAGTTATAATATCATTTTTCATCCAATGATCTAAATCGAATAGTTTAAGATTTATTGAATATTTAAATATATGATGAAAGATTAATTTATTAAATTTTGGAATTTCATCTCTAAATTCTAGATTAAATTTTGATTTGTTATTTATACCCAATTCATTATATATTGGTGATATAAATTCTTCAATTTCTATGGATGCAACTTTTCTTAAAAATATGAAATAATTAAATAAAGGATTCCTTTTTTTAGGAAATATATTAAATATATATAATGCATCTATCATTCTAGTTGATAGGGAATCCAATTCTACTTGATCAAAACATAATAAATATGTTCTAAAAAGTTTTAACCTATTTTTTGATGAACATAATTCAAATGGTTGTCTATAAAGATATGATATAACAATTTTACACCAATATCTATTTATTAATAAACATGAATATAATCCTTGTTTTTCTTCTAATAAATATTGAACGATTTTTTGAACACATTCTGTAGGTAATATATTCAATTTAAATGATGTAGATAATACAGTTTCAACTTTATCATCATCATCATCATCATCATAATAATAATAATAATTATTATTATTAGAAGAAGAAGAAGAAGAAATTAAAAAATTTTCTTGTAAACAATTTTGTATCCTATTGAACAAATTATAAATAGAAAATAAGGTCATTTTTTTTTTTTTTAATGAGAAAATGATTTTTGGAAAGAATGACGCCAATTTTTTGTAATTGGGGTATTTATATCTCCAAATATAACTATAAATCGGGTCAATCGGAAAATCGGAATTATTTATGTAACACTTTTTTAAAAATTACGTATTTGAAATCCATAATAAGAAAGAAATATGAAACGATCAAAATTTTTTTTTAACTAACAATTAAACAAAAGGTTTGAATTTTAAAAATAATAATTGTCAATTGTAATTTTTTGAATTTGTGATACAAAGTTTTATCAATTATATTAATTAATATATATTATATAATATTATTATTACTTTCTTTTTATTAGTATAAAATTTAAATTGGTAATTTTATAATGACATTATTATAAACTAAATTACCAATTATATTAAAGGCAAATGTAGGAAAGGAAATTAAAGAAAATTCGATTATAATTGTAAAGGATCAATAATAGTATTATAAATAATTAATTATTTACGTGATGCACTCGACATCATGCATTTTCGGTAAGACTGAATGCAGTATTAATTATCGTATAATACCCGGAGTTTACAAAGGAAAAGACATACCGATAGTCTGTAATAATATGCAAAGATAATCTGTGATTTCTGTGATTAAATTAATAAGACGGGATCGTGAATCAAATTATCTTTTATTTTCTACATCATGATTTACTAGTCTAATAATTAATAATTAATTTTATACATTAAATAATCGAGAATAATCTATTAAATCGTAAGATTCTTCTAAAATACTATAAAACTACTAATGTTTTGTTCCCGATTTATAACCAAACATCTTCAATTGTTCTAATTGTTCGGTATAATCAGGTAAAACTTCACTTGTAAGTTTATTACATTGAAGTAATTTAATACTTCTTATATTAAAAAATTGTTTCAACATTTCCTTGGAATTCTCAGATATATAAACATTATCCAACTTCATAGATATTAAAGTATTCTTATGTAATAATAATAAATTTAATAATATTAATTCAAAATTATCTTTAATTTGAGAAATATTAAATTCTGATATATGATCTTGTGATTTAATAATACTAATAATTAATTGTAATATATTATCATTATATTCAAAATGTTTAAATTTAAAATCAAGATAATGAATATTTTTACAATTAATTGATATTAATTTTAATAAATTAATTGTATTTTGTGTAAGTTTAGAATTAATATTATTAATTTGAAATTTTACTAATCTATTTAATGAAAGAATTTCCGTCATATTATTTAAATTATTTGTAAAAAGAAAATTTTTTGTCATCATAATCTTTGGTAATAAATTTGGTGTATCTAAATTATGAAATTTTTTATTAAAATTTATTATTCGAAGATTTGTTGATTCTTTTAAAAATAATTTCAATAATGAAGTTGCCATCACAAGTATTTGTTGTTCTTTATATTTATCTTTAAATTTTCTCATTAAATAAATATATATAGTATTCTCAAATTCACTATATAATAATTCTTGTAAAAAATTAGAATAATTAATTAAAGGTTTTTTTCCAATTTTAAGATTTATAGAATAAAATTTTTGAAATAAAGAATTTAAATAATAAAATTCTTTATTATCTAAACATGAAATATAAGTATCAATAATTTTATAATTATTAAGTTGATTAATAGCTTTTTTTGATAATGTACTCTTTAAACTTGAAGTTGCTAATACCCAATGACTTATAATAAATGAACTTTGAAATGGTGATGCCCAAAGTAATGGTAAAACATTTTTACACCAATATTTATTAACCAAAAGACATGAATAAAGTCCATTTTCTTGATCATCAACATATTTTAAAATTTGTTGCATACATTCTGTTGGTAATAAAGGTGTTGTTTCTCTAATTTTATTCAATTTTAATAATTTTAATTTTCTCATTTTTTCATTTTTTTTTTATTATTATTATTTGGTGAAAATTTCTTTTTTCTTTAAGGTTCGTTTAATATCATTTTTTTTTTTAAAAAGTTTTTGAAACATTTTAATGTGTGTTTAACCCATCCTATTTATATTCTTAATTTGTACAATAATAGTACTTATTACACACTACAATTAAATTACTAATTGGTCTAACTAGTGAAATGACTGGGCGGATGATTATTTCCGATCATCATTCAATAATAAATAACGACCCTGCTCAATCAAAAATCATACTGTAAATAAATGATCGGGTGTAAAAAAAAGATCATACAAAATCAGGTGATTATGTGGATTTATTGGATTATGTGAACAAATAATTACGTCACCTTCGTCACCTATCTCAATTTTTAGTAAATTCGCGTACTTTCTTCTAATCTTTTATAATTTAAATATTTTGGTCGTACAATCGAACTCCCAATTCTTTGATTCTCCCATAATATGCAATTTCGATTTCTCCGTAAAATTTTAATATGACTTCCTAAATGTATTATGAAATGCACGAGTAATATGATTCATATATTGTTACCTTAAAAGTTAACCCAATACTTAATATATTTATAATCATACATTTACCTGAAATAATCTTTGAAGAATTTCGGAGAAAATTTGGGGATATTTTAGGGATATTTAATTGTTTCATTTTTATCCCATTTTTATCCGTTATCTTAATATTATCTAAAAAGTATTTGCTAAATATTAAATAATTAATTTAATTATTAAATTACTTTTTCACATTTGAAATCAATAGAAAATTGTTTCATCTAATGCATATATTTACCTTATACATAAATTTTAATTACATAAATTTTAATTACCATGTAAATTCATCGCCAACAAAAAAAAAAGTATATATATATATATGTTATATGTATATAAAATAAAAAATTGATTTTACAACATTTCTTTGCTACTGTATANAAAAAAAAAATGCATGACGTGAAAAAAAAAATTTCAACGCGTTATAAATTATAAAGAAAAAAACAAGAAAAACGCGCATACAGTATCAAATTTTTTGAAGAAAAATTCATTTATATATGTATTAAATATGAACCGCAGCAGAATGCAGCAGAACACATATAATTTTACCCGGAATGACGGGAATGACAGGATTGTTATGCTTAAAAAAATATTCCTAAAATTCCTTTTTCTACTGTATTACATATTATCTACTGACAAATTTTACCTAATTTATCATTATAAAGCGAAATCATTGTTTTTACTTGATAGCTGATAAGCAGCTACCTTATTCAATTTACTAAAGTGGATAAATAATAAGAAACGTGTGAATTATTTAGATAATAACCAAAGTATTGTTGTTTTTATTTTGTTTTTTCAGTGATTGTACGTTAATAACTCTTTAATATATAACTTTATTTTTTTTTCTCGGATATTCCATACACAGTTCACCTTCTCTATATCGAATTTTTATATAGTGAATAACTTACTATAATAACTTACTATAATAACTTATTATAATGAAGAAAAGTTCAGACACAGATATAATAAAATGACCCTCAATTTCTCACTATAATGAATTTTAATCTCCGAACCATGGGATTCACTATAATGAGGATGAAACTGTATTCCATTATTTTCCACAATATAAAAAAAGAATTCATCCAAAATTCCAAATCAATCAATAATAATTTATTTGACTGCAGTGATTATTTGCCTCGGATGATCCGATTAAATCCGAAATTTCTGGTACAAAAAAGATTGTTCGATTGTTCTCTGCAGTAAAAAAAAAAAAAAAAAAAAAAAAAAAAAAAATGTTTTTTTTTCTCAGAGATTCTTCGTTATGGAAAAAATCATCAGATTATATCAACAAGTATTGTTTTCCCACCTTATTTTTAAGGATTTTAGGATTATTAAAGAAGACATCATTATATGAGAAATTTGAAGCATTAAATACTTCTAATGATGCATAAACACATTAAATGACATAGAAAAAACATACCAAAATAGGGTCTGAAACATTAATTTTCGTTTGATCAACATATATAATTCTATCTTATTCGTTGAAATGATTGGTCGGTTGTAATGAAATAATTAATTCACGTGTATTTCATATATTCTAGAGAGAATTCAAATTTTGTAAATGAAGCCATCATTTGATCTATATTTAAATATTTATACATGCAAAAAAAATTATAAAAATTTAATAGGTTAAAGATTTCTAAATAAAGTTTATCTTTTATTCGCGTAACATAACCTTATAAGGAAACGAATAATAAAAAGATAAATAATAGGAATTTCAATTTAACCATATTAATCAAAAATATTATAAATATTCATCTATTCTTGTATACCGATTTCATATTATTTAATCGGAGGGTAATTACCGAGATGATTGCATTAAAAATAGAATCAAAATGTTTTACTATTATATTACACACATAATCGCATAATCATTAGATATCTATTTAACAATTATCCGCCTATTTTTTTTTTCTTTTTTACTATTCGATCAAAAAAGATAATACAATGAAATAAATAAAATTTTGTATAACCTATTAAAAAAATACAATGAGCCACTAAAAGTGGTCTAGATCAGTACCTTTAATATAAATAGACAAACTGTTTTAAATGATTACGCCGTTTTTTTTTTTTTTTTCACAAATACATAAATACATATAATATATATATATAATATTCTATCCATATTATCTAACTCACCATGGCTAATCTATTTTGTTTTTTTTCTCGAAAAAAAAAAGATTCAAAAAATAATAAAAAAGGTTTTAAATCTATATTTTGTCGTAGAAGAAAAAACAAACCGATTTTAGAAAAACCTGAACCACAATCTGCTATCAACCTCAAAAAAATTCCACCAAATGTACTTCAATTAATTTTTTCACATTTAGATAATATGGGGTCAAAAGGATTATATTCATGCCTTTTTGTTGATCATTATTGGCATTCAAATGTTCTTCCAATATTATGGAAACATCCTTTCACCTCAAAACCTTTATCTAACATAAATTCTGTGAAATTAATCGAAACTTTATTACTTTGTCTTGACCCAGCTGCAAAACAATCATTAAGAGCATCTTTAAAACAACAAAAATTAAAATTAATAATACCAAATAAATCTTCATCATTTGATTATGCTTCTTTATTAATTGAAATAGATTATAAAGAATTAGAAAAATCGATTCATTTTTATTTATTAGAATCTTTTAATAATAATAATAATAATAATAATCGTCTTATAACACCAAGATCAACAACGGTGAATCCATTACTTGAACATGTTCATTTATTATCAAAAAATTTATTCATGTTATTCATGAAAAAAAGTTCAAAAATTGAATCATTAATCATTGATAAATTTGGAGAATTTTCCGATTTACCTATAATTGAAATACAACAACAAAGAAAATCAAATATTTTATCAAGAATTACAAAACTTCATTTAAATTATTATGAATCAAGTGATATATTTGATTTTTTAAGATTATTACCATCATTATGTAATGATTTAATAGAATTCAATATAAATATTATTGATTTTGAAAATGAAGCTTTAATACATAGATCAATAGCTGATGTTATAATTTCTCAACGGGGTTTAAAAAAATTTAGTATAGAAGGTGCTAGAAATGGTGGTAATACTATTTTATCAGCATTAGGAGATTCTCAATCAAAAACTTTAATATCTATTAGATTTAAATTAATTAATTTTAAATCTACTGGAATGAAATCATTAACAAAATGTGATCAATTAAAAGAACTTTTATTTGAAAATTGTCAAGGTCTTACCCCTGAAATAACAAAAATTTTATTTAATGCTAAATTAAAAAATTTAAAAAAATTGGTTATTTGGAATAAATATAAAGCACCTCCTATTACTTCTATGATAATTAAATCAACTAAGAATAGTAATTTAAAAGAATTAACTTTAGATACTATAATTATTGGTACTGTTAATACAATATTAGAAAATTGTTCTAATATTACAACTTTAAAAATATTTGATTATCAACCAAAACATAAGGTACAAATGTTTAGATTATTAAGAGATTTACCTTTACTTGAGAATTTAACAATTTATAGGGAAACTGAAGTAGAATTAGGTGTTATAGATTTTTCGGGTAAATTTTTACCAAATAGTATAAAATGTTTAAGGTTAGAATGTGGAATTAATCCGGATCAATTGGATAATTTATTAAAAGGTTTAGGAGATCGTAGTAAATTAAATACTTTAATTATAGATTATTTTAAATTAGAAATAACTCATTTAAAAGTTATACATGATTGGGTAAAAAGTAAAAGAACTTTAAAATTTTTAGGTATTGGTGGAAAATCTAAATTTAGTAAAAATGAATTATTAGAATTAAAGGTTTTACAAGATGAATATGAAGTATTCATTATTCCATCACATAGGTTAGATTATTTCTGAATTTGGTATAGTTTAGTTTTAGTTGACGAATTACGTAGATTCGATTGTCCAACATAGAGGAAGCGAAGGATTTTTTTTCAAGAAACACAGGAAGTTTTATATAAAATTAGTTTATATATAGGTTTTTTTCTATTTCAAAAATTATTTTAAAGAGATTTTGAGTTTGGAGATAGTTTCGAGCGGTAATATGTAATTAGTTCACGTGATTTTATTTTTTTTTTCCAAGAAATCACAAAAACGGGGGCGAAGGATTTTTATATAAAAATTAGTTTATATAGTTTTCTATTTTAGTTTTTACAGAGATTTTGAATTTGAAGATAAGTTTCGAGTGGTAATATTACTTGATTCACGTGATTTTATTATTTTTGTTTTTTAAGAAACACAAAACGAGGGCGAAGGAAGTTTTAGTTTATATAGTTTTTCTATTTCAAAATTTTTAATTTTTGGAGATTTTGAGTTGGTCGAGCGGTAATATAATTAGTTCACGTGATTTATTATTTTTTTTATTTCAAGAATCCAAAACGAGGATGTGATTGTGCGACATAAGGAAGTGTCAATTGTTAGATTTGAAGAGATTGTTCCAATCACTCGTGAAAGTTACAAGACGCTTTGAACAAGTTGAACAAGTTTAAAGATTTCATGATTTATTTGACGAAATTTTTGTTTGGACGAAGTTTAGACGCAAAGAAAATCATTTACTAAATTGAATAGTACTAAAAACTTTACAAAATTATCGTTAACATTATTAACGAAACGACAACAAATTATAAGATATACAGTAGAATCATTATATACTATCCATTTGAAATATTTAATATGGGTGAAAGCAGTTGACAAAGTTGTTATGGTTGACATAGTTGATTCATTATCGGAGTTGATTCATTATCGGACATAGTTGACATAATTGATTCATTATCGGATAACAAATATTTTAAGAAAACAAAAAGGTATGTAGATGTTTTGATTTTACATCCAATCAACATCTTTCCCCAATTTCCGAAACAAATATTCACTTTGTGAATCCAAATATTCAAAAAATGTTACCGGAGGTTAACGACATACTTAAAATTTTCATTGACGCAATGCAAAGTCTAATTATATCTTAGCTTGTTGAACCATATTTCTTTTATGTCATTTATAATAATAATCATGTAGATTTATGGTTTTAACCTTCAATGGGAAGTTCTTTTTTGGTTTTTTTTTTTATAGTACATGAAAATTTTTAATTGTTAACTAGAATAATTGAAACATAAAAATACCTCATTTTCATAAGATAGTTATATACATAATATAAAATATACTGTATAATATACATTATAATCAAGGTTATTCCTGTTATATTTCATTAAAAAGAAAGAAAGAAAAAAAATTTTTTTTTTTTTCCATAATTATATTTTTCTATCACATTTTTCCACATGGGTTTGTTTCGTTAATTATTCCCATGGATTATTTTCTCATTCAAATATATATATAAAAAAAAAAAAAAAAAAAA